CGATCGTCTGTGTCCCGGGCGTGACGGCAGTGAGCAACATCCCCGTCGCCACGCACACCGCTTGAGCCGTGTCATCGGCATCCTGATCCTGTCGAAAAGGGGCGCGCGAGGCAACACGCGGCGCCCAAAACCCTCCTGGACGCTTTGGCTCTGCGAAGACGGTGTCCTTCTTGGAACATAGATGGCCCTGGTAGACGATTGGCACTAAGCAAACCAGGGCCCTCTACTTTGTGGGTACGAAGACCCGCAACCAAACTTTTTCTCCACTGAAATGGTCTACACGAACAGTTTGAAGTCCATGAACTTTTGGAAAATAGATGGGCCTTGTAGATTATTGAAGTATGAGTAAACCACGGCCCTGTATGTTTCAACCAAACCAACCAAAAAGGAGACCTATGGTTATATGAAGATGGGTAAAGGTTTGTTACCCTTGTCCAACCGGGTAGAACATCCTACCTAACATGGCCAATGGGGATTTGGGGGCTCGGTCATCACTCAACAACTGGGTTGTTTGAGAAACGCGCGCTCCTTGTCTTCGGTCACTGCCCCCACACTCGACATAGCTCAATAAGTGACCTTGCGTCCTGTATGCGTGGCACATATGTCCATGTGTGGGCAACCTGGCTGCGGCTCTTACAAACCTCTTCCCATCATTCCCGTTCGAGGCCAAACGGCTCGCAGCATTGCACCGAGTGCACAACGGAATTGGGGATGTGATTTGGACAAGAGTGCAGAGAGGATGAAAAATCACATCTCCAACTCGGGATGCAAAATAGGTGTAACTCTTTGGCACCTTTCAGATAAGGCTCAGGCCGCTTGTCCCTTCATTCGCCTTAGCCAAAAGCCAAATTCGAGGTCAGGGTTGGGCGATTCAGCTTAACCACTGCTTGTTTAAACAACCTTTCCAACCCTTGGTATGGTAGCAAAACAAACTTTGGTTTTGCAGCCTCCTACTCAAAAGGGGCAAAACCCAACAAACCAAAAACAACAAGTGAAACACCTTTAGGTTTCCCTGGGTCTGGACTGCAACCGCATGAAGCCTTGATCTGGGGCTCTGGCCGCTCAATTTCCCCAGCCAGGCGGGAGATGGGGGCAGTGTAGCCCTCGGGTGCCCGGAGAAGGGGGAGACGCCGCGACGGAAAGCGTATTCCAGGCAGACCATGGGTGTGGGTCACAAATAGGCATCCAAAATGGGTTAGAACCTGCGGATGGGTTCTGGTGGTTTCATTTTGACCCACGCCCATGTGTTTTCGGGGCCCTGTTGGGGAATGGGGGGGGGGGGCCTGGCGCATAACAACTGGAGGATGGCAGAAATGGGGTTGAAACGAGGGTGGAGTCCATCGAAGTGGTCAGCATGTCCACCCACGCCCCTCGATTTGGGACATGCTCAGAACGAAGCTGGCAGCGCCGTCGATGTTCAATTAAATTGGACTGCTTCTATGGCGCATCAACGCCAGAAACTAGGAATTTGCCCCGTAAACTTGCCACTAGGGTTTGACTTTGACAACGCTCAAATGATGGGACATAAGTGGGCGTGTGCGCCTTGGGCACCTTTATTGGGAAACCAAACGGCAAACCACAAGTTTTGGGGGTCCAGCCATGGCTCCCTTCACATGTTCTTTTCAAACTGTAATCATTCAGGATCGACCAACATCCCAGTTAACCCCGAATACAGGAACCAGTCTTTTGGGTGTGTCTTTTTTCCCCGGTGCCCTTCTTTGGGTTGGCTTCTACTGGGACCCCAAAATGCTCGTGCCAAAAAACCCATGCCAAGGCACGGCGATGGCGGGCACGTCTTCTCCGTCAGCCTCGCTGCTCAGCAACTCCTGGGAGGGGGGGGGAGGGGGGGAGTTGGGACTCCCGTTTCTTGATATGTTGGTTCACTTTCCAAGGGGCCCCACTCCAAAACCCAGTGTGTGTGGGTGCGTGCGTGTGTGGATGTGCGTGGGTGTGGGTGGGTGCGTGAATGCGTGGGTGGGTGGGTGTGTGCATGTGTGCCACTCCTGGCCAATTTTGAGTATGTCACTTTCACTTAAACGGATCCAGCATTGGCTACAGGTATATATATATATATATATACAAACAAAAACATAAATATATATTTGGGGACTATAAGCAATTTCCCTTGGGATGCGTTGATGCTTTGCTGGCGTTGGGTTTTGCGATGCCTTTGGGTCTCGTATCCGACGCGAGGGCTGCAAACAGTTTTTTGGCTGGCCCACTGCCACGTACATCCTGTTGCCCCAGCATGTGGGAGGGAGGGGGCTACTCCCAGGCACACTGTACACACCACCTTTTTTTTGCTTGCCTGGATAAGAATAAGCCTTTTTGAGGGCCTAACTGTTTAAGTCCTTTCGCGCCAAATGGCTGTGGGTCAAAAATAGGGTAGACTAAAACCTGCGGGATTGCCCCTAGTGACTAATTTTCACCCATACCCTCCATTTGCTGAAGCCTGGACGAATGCTAGCACATGTTCCGTGAAATCGATTCCCCCTAAAAACCAACAGGGGGAAGTAGGACAAATGGTCATCTCACTTGCTCAAAGGACCCAGACATAAAAGGTTCACCTTTTGGGGCCATGACTCAAAATGCACCAAAAAGGGGAAACTCAAAAGGTCAGATCCGGTCGATTCGCTTTGGGCAAGTGAGTCATCGCGGCCACTGGAAGAGACCCCAAACTCCGCCGCGATTTTGCCGGTGGCCCTCCAGCAGCAACAGCGCCAGAGTCAACTTCTCGTGACACGCCGCCTCCCATCCGCCCGCCTGGCCGGGTCCAGTGGGGCTTCCTGTCGGAAGATCCACTAGCCAAACAGTATGGGCTTGCAAAAACAAGACTGACTGTTTTTGCCAGCCCCCTACTAAGTACTAAAAATGAGAACATAACTTTGCAACAAGAAACACTTGCCAAGAACAGTGAAGTCCACATTTGGGGATCCCAAATCCCAAAGACGAGCCACAGCCCCATGATGTTGGGTGCTCTTGAGGTTCCCACCGGCCAAATCCAATCGAAATCCCATCCCAAATCAAAAGCCTGCAGCTCAAACAAACGCATTCCCTTCGACCGGGGCAGAGTTCGAGTATCTAGAAGGCGAATGTGGCCCAGGTTGTTGTCAAGCACTTCCCAGCCACCCCACCCGGCACCCTGAAAATCGGGCAGAGCTGAGTCCACGAATCTGGTAAACCCGGCCGGAGGCCATTTTTGATCTCTGATTCGAGCGTTGACGATTCCGGCTGGCTTGGAAGGCGTCAGAATCTCGCCCCCAAAAGGAGAAAAAGGCCCAAAGAGCAGCATGTCAGCAGCTCCTGAGAAGTGATTCCTGGAAGAATTCGCGGAACATGTCTGAGGGGTATGGGTGGCCATCTGTGCGCCATCCGCTACCAGCTCCTCTTTGCCATGCAAAGCGGCGCTACTTCTGGCGCGGGCAGACATAGGTTGACTGTATAAATTGACCTTGAACCAACGCCACATTTTGCCATCCAACAATCGCAGCCATGATACCAATGGAAGGCCCCCCCCCATCCCCCCAAAAAGAATCAAGTGATGGATGTGGCAGTGCGTGTAGCTCTCAAGTCTAGCGAGATTGGTATAGGATGCTGAGTTGAATTCAAGCACTTCAAGACTTCTAGGCCCAACAACTCATCCTCTGGCCGAAATGTGGCGGGATTTGGCCTTTTAACGTCGAGCCAACGCCAAGTGAAGCGTCTCACAGTTCTGGTTGCCAGTGCTATGCGCTTTCAGTGGACTGGGCGCTGAGGCTTCACAAGACGGGCATTGCCTTCCGAACGGGCAGCCTCGAGTGAGCAACGCCGAGCCATCGAGCTGAACCCGGGCAGTGCGCAGTGCGCCGGCTGAACGAAAAAATGCCTCATGCGTGCCTAGAAACGGCCCCCTTTGGTTGGCCTAGCACGCTTCCAGGCGTGTCAATTCCATGCTTTTGAGCTCAAAGCTCCGCAGAAGCCGCGCTCACCATGTTCACTTTACCTGAACCCAGTCGCCATTGACCCGAGAAAGAGAATTGGACGCCTTTCTTTTTGGAGGCCCTTGTGTGGTTAGTGGAGCCCACCAAAAAAAAACAAAAAACAAAAAAAGAGTGCTGACCCTTCAGTCTGTTGCCGGGCTGCTGGCAGAATACCATTCCGAGCAGAGCGGCCGCCAGTCGCGCTTCCGCTTGTCCCCGCATTGGGTCCAAAGCTCGCAGGCCGTGTGGGTCAGCCTCCGCCAAAACAAAAACGACGCCGAAGCGAGGGACAGTTTGGACAAAGCAATGGTATAAACCATCAAGTTCAGCACTGCAGGATTTTGTCAAATTGGTGGGAACAGTTGACACAAATAATGTGTCATCTTGATGCTTTTGTCGCTGTTGCTTGCTCTTGCCTTTGCTTGATACCCAAGGAAAAATCGTTCCTTGGAAATTTGCTGCGGAAGGTTTGGGAATTGCAAAAAGGCTTGCGAGAGTTTGGATGAAGCAATGGCATAAACCACCAAGTTCAGCACTGTTGCAAGATTTTCGTCATGCCAATGGGAACAGTTTCTCCTTAGGCCAATGCGTGGGATACGTCTCTCAGGCCAATGGGTGGGATAAACCACCAAGTTGAACCGGTGCAACATTTTGTTAGGATGGGTCCAATAGGCCAACGGGTGGGATAAACCACCTTAAGTTCAACAGGCGCAGCTGATTTATCCATAGGCCCATGGGTAAAACCAGTGAAGTTTGGCTGTTCGCTCCCGCAAAAGGACAAGCCGCTTAGTTCAAATTGAAGTCGCCCCCTAAAAAAGAGGACAGAACACCGCGATGCCAACCACCTTGAGGGAGGTTTCTGAAGAAACTCTTGAGGGGTTCTGATCGAAAGCTTGCCATGGAAGCACTCCTGATCAGGGCTGTGGGAAATAAATGACCACTTGTGCGATACAACAAGAAGGGCCTCCCACAGACTAACCCCCCATATCAACAAGGGATCCCCTTGTATCACAGAAGTGGTTGGATAAACCCCTTGATCCCAAAAACCAACCAAACAAACTAAAACGCAACCAACACACACACACAAAAATAAAAAGACAGGCCCACCGAGTTTTGGAAACTCGGTGGCCTGTGGCAAGTGCTTGCAGGCTCCACACACTCGATCCACATGATCATCCCTCGCTGCTGGTCCACGCCTGAGAGCGAGCCGCAAGGGGCATCCACTTGGGGGACGTGTTCAGTGGTGTTTCCCGCGCCCCCGATGGAGGCGAACAACAAGTTTATCGCTTGGAACGGGGGCCCCCTCATCCACTTCGCAAAACACACCTTGCTGAGGCCTTCCTACGGCCTGAGGCATCCATTAGGCTTGATTTTTGTTTGGGGCGGGCATGGCAATGTTGCTTTGCAGGCACTGGCAGACTGGGGCGGGCGCGTGGCACCACGTCGTTGCTAGGCTGGATGACAGTGAAGCTATCATAGACCTTTCGCCTGGGCTGACTGAAGGTGCCCTGGCTTCGTCTCTCTGGGGGGACTAGGTCCTCCAGTAGGGAGGTTAGAACAAGGGTACCCTTTTTTTTCTGTAGTCTATTTGCTCAAAAGACGAGCAACTGATCACATCTGATCACCTTTCGGGACGTACTGGAACCCTCCCCCAAAAAGGAAACGGTAGGGCACGATCCTGGGGGACCTGCAAGTTGGCTCTCAAAACAACTCGCACACGCCGTCCAAAGTGAATGCCGCGAGCGAGGCTGAGCCAAGGCGCAACTGCAACTTGTATTTTTCCACCTGACGGGTCTGGTCCCATCATCCCATCCGTCCCAGGCGAACAGGACTGGGTTCAGGTCGACTAGCAAGACCCAAAACTGGGGTCACTGGATTTACCCAAGTCAAAAGTTGGCCAATCCGGCAACTTCAGTAGACACGATCGGTTTTCATGAGGCTTCCTTCCCCTTCCAAACTTGATTAGTTCACTAGTTTCCATTGAAATGATCGGTTTCCACTTTAAGAGGTTCCCTCTAAAGGGAAATGGCTCGGAAACCAACTCCAAAACGCGGAGCTAACCCACGCCAGGCTTCCATTCTTGGACCAAGGCAGCCTTCAACCCACTTTCCCTTCTGGCAAAGATCCCACCCCTGCATTGAGAAGTCTACTTTTGGGGTCTCTGGTCAAAAAATGGAACGAAGCCCAGCCATGTGCCAAACCACTGTGCGGGGCAGTCCCCAAAGTCTGGGTGAATTACAATATTTCACCAGCCTGAAACAAGGTGGTTGGGGGGCTATTCCCAACATAAGCCACCATTTGGTGGTGAATTCGGTCGTGCGACCCACACCCACCTGGTAGTAGAGCCCCGGAGGAGAGAAACCGATTCCTTCCACCGCGATTCGCGAGGACACCGCCCCCACCAGGGCGCCTCAGAGCCCAGCATCACCAGGGAGGCGGGGCGCGGTCTGGGGTCTGGGGGGGGTGGGTTCCAATCGGGTAGCTTTTGAAGTGGGAAACGCGAAGCTCGAAACCTTTGGAGTGAACTGCTTTCAAGCAGGAGAAAAAGAACCAAGAGGGTCACCACATCTTTGGAGTGACTTTGTGATATTGAGGGATTTCCTTCATGACTGATGGGGGAAGTTCACAACAAACTCAGTCTTGAAGCCGCAAATCCCATCTGATCTGCACCCAATTCTGCTCATCGGCCACATTGGATTGTTGCAACTCTGACGATTCATCTTTGTTGAATATGTTTTCAAACCTTTGGTTGTCTTTTATCTCAGTGGATTCCACCCCGTATTTGCCTTGGAAGGTGCCTCACTAATAGGAATCACCTAAATTGTCTTCCGGGAAGCCCCTGTGACTACATCCTCCAGTGGAGAGGGTACCCTTTTTTCAGTAGTCTGTTGTAGTAGGGGAACCCTCCCCCAAAAAAGAAACGGTAAAAGGGCACTACGGGGGGACCTAGGTGAGGTTCCATGTTTGCGGACGGGAGGTTGGCAGCCTTCGAGGAAGGCGGTACCCCACCCCCAAGTACTCTAAACAGAACGTATGTCCGGCACGTAGCCGTATCTGACCGTAGCTGGCACCATCTGGCACCCGCGTGGGCACTAGTATGGTGCCCCTGTGCTGTGATTCTCATTTTTCCCAAAGGACCCTAAACCTTATGGGATCTTGGCAAACAAGGTGTGCTTGTTGGGTACCCTGTTCGCCAGGGATGAAAAGGAACGAGCAGGAGAACCACCATGTTTGGAACCTCCCCCCCCCATTTGTGCCACATACCCACATACCCTGGACCAAAGCTGGAGAACAGGTCAGGCCAGCCGGTTGCAAACCAGACAAAGCACTGCGCCCCCGGGTGCTATCAAGGCACCCCCCAGGCTGTGACCCGTCATCAGCAAGACCTCATTGTTCGCCTTGCCCTCCTCTTTGTGCCTGGCTTAAAGCTTCTTCGTTCTTCGGCACGCGCCCTTCGCTCTTGACGGTGACACCCTGTTTTCGGGGGTGGCTCCCAGACACCGAGCCCTCAAAAGATGAGGGCTCCCACATTGATGACAGCCTATTCTTCACAAGGCAGAGGAGCAAGAAGCTCCCACATTTCAAGGTGGAGGAGCAAGAACTAACAATTCTAAGCCACACCACCCCATTCTGAAGAGCTAACCCAATTATCCCCCCAAAATGGATGCAACAACAATTGCCATTGAAGCAGTCCACCCAAGCAAGGCTAAAACTCAACTGTTCCCATTCTCTCCCTTTGCCGACTCCCAGCAGCCCACCAGGCATCTCCCAAGCAGGGGCGGTCAGCCTTGCCCTTCTTGTTTTGCCCACATCCATGTCATGAATCATTGCCAAGGCGACACTGACAAACATAAAGCCCGTGGCTTCACGGCAAGCATTGAAGCACCCTCCTGATGGCACCGCGGGCCCCTCAGCAGCCAACCCACCAAAGTGGTGCCCGCGATCCAATTCTCCACAAGCTTCCAATTCACTTCCTCATTCTTTCAATGGGGGGCCCACGCAGCAGCCCACGCAGCAGTTGTCATCACTTTCGGGAGGAAAGACCGGAAATCCTAGAAAATTGGATGCTTGGAAAGAATGGGTTTTAACCGAAAATATGACCTCATACAATACTTCCCCATTCTTTCTGGTTTTCCAATTTTCACCCAAAACAGATGCAAAAGCGAAAAAAATACAAACAGGGACACACTGATCTTTGATCGAAAGAACGATGCAGGGGGACAGAATGATGGGGTGGGGAAAGAAGGGAAATAATGATGGTTGTTGGGAAAGAACGATGGTTGGGGAAAGAACGATGGTTGGGAAAAGAACGATGGCCCTGGGGAAAGAACGATGGTTGTAGGGAAAGAACAATGCCCCGGAAAACAGAACGCTGCCAGTAAGATCGATGGCCTGCAGCGGCATGACTTTGGCAGGTCAGGGGAAGGGGTTGTCTAGTCTATTGGCCCTACCCCTAGCCCGCGGGACAACTTTCTGCATGCGTCAGTGCTCGCTGCAGAAAAAATCAAAAACTGAGCCGAAACCGGCTGGAAAGACCGATCGTTGCACTGAGTGCGCGTGTGACGAAAGAATGGGGAATCAACCCTTAGAACAATACCCCTCAACCATTCAAGCCCGAAACCAACAAACATGATGCCCCAGGAATCAACTTGAATATTAGCAAACTTAACAGAGATGATGAAAACTCGATGGTTCAGGAGCAAAGAATCAAGATCTCACTTGCCCAAAGGACCTGGAAACAAAAGGTTAACCTTTTGGGACCTGTACTAAAAATGGACCAAAGTGGGAAAACCAAAAGGTTAAAACGTCGATTCGCTTTGGGAGAGTGAGATATAGCAACTTGAAGGATTTTTCCAACACCTTCGGCTCACAAGAGAAGTCCTTGCTCCGGCAGCTTGCTGTTTTGTTCGTTGATGCCAACCGAGAGCATCCCCGCCGGCCAAGAAACAAACTTAGCCCTTGGCATTCCCCCCCCCCCCGACCTTCACGGGGCAAGAAGGTGGGGTGGGCAACCGAATTCCACGACTCCAATGCCTACAAAACTGTACCCAGATTCCCCGCTAGAAGCTTAACTTTTAGTGGGTTGAATGGAAATCCAACCACTAAACACAAGGCGAAAAAGCTAAGGAACCGGATGGCTGAGACCAAGATTGGACACTTAGACAACCAGTACCCAAGAAGGAGGTCAGGGATCCTTACATTATACACCTGAACATTGCCTTGTCAATGGTGATTTCCCTTTATCTTGGTGGAAAAAGCCATGTTTCAAATGGGCAAAATGTGATTATCTTTTAAGGAGCCCTGGAGGTTGCCAAATAGACCCTATGCTTCCAGCCCTCCTCCCCCATTCCACGTCATTTGTTTTTGCATTTCCTGAAGTCCATTGGAAAAACGAACGCCCTCGACCCGCGGCACGGCGCCCAACACCCCCCCCCACTCCGCGCTTCAGGGCTGACTGCTCCAGCCGCTGCCAAATCTCCGAGCTGCCGAAGAGGAAAGTGCTCACCTGGCTGTCCACCAGCCTGGCGCCAGAAATGGGGGAATTGGGGGCGTCCAGCATAGCACTTATCTAGTCTTCCCTGCAAAAGGGACCTTGAAACAATCACCCCAAATTCATAGTTTTGTTTAATGGAGTTGGGATATGCATCCTTTTTGCGGTTATTTCCGCCACATTGCCCAACTGGAGTGAGTGGAGCCTAAAATTCCCCCAAAATGGACCCTGGGCGAATGGAAGCAAAGACCGGAACCTGCGTAACCCCAACTCTCTTACTTTGGAGGCACATCCATATGAGCCCAAATGTCATAAACCTCCCTCAAGAAGCGATATCCAGCTGACTAAGCCAATGAATTCAATGTAATACCCTCTTCCTAACAGTCATGAAGTCGAGAAGGCCTTGTCAAAAGGACAGTTGTCTTCCAAACCCAGCCCAATGTGACACTCGCGCCTCTGCACTACAGACACCGGCATCAGGGTGAGCACGGGCCTTGCCACACAGACGAGTGAAATTTTCGCCTTGAGGGTTCCCTGATATCGAAACTCAGGAAACGTCCGCTTCTTAAAGCTCGATTCCCCAAAGCACCTGGACATATAATGTAAACCGTTTGGGATCTGGACAAACAACTGACTCGCAAAAACCTGAAGATCAAAAGGTTGGTTTGGAAATGTTGGTGAGGGGGAGGCAAAGGGAAGCCAAACAAGGCAAGGGTCTTGCTCAGGTCAATTTGCTCCGCACCCTTCAGAGCAAGGCCGTGTTCCCGTTCATGGATCAGCAGCACACATGTTTGGAAGACATAGAGGAAAGCCACTCTTGAAATGCGCAGTCCAGGCTCCCAGGCAAAACCGGGACCGTTTTGACCATGCATTCAATTTCATACCAATCTGTTGCATGCCAGGGCGAAAACTCGGCCAACTAAAATGGCTGCAGCCGAAAGGCGTCATGATGCTCATCATCTGCAGCACCTCACACTGACGGTCTGTAAAATGCCATCGGGTGGCGATCTGAACATGTTGCTTTCTTTGTCTTCCTTCAGCTGGTATATTGAGCAATCAATTTTTTGCACTTTGCAGCCCACTCTGCACAGAAGATTCCCTAGGTCCTCCAGTAGAGAGGTTAGAATAATAAGGGTACCCTTTTTTCTGTCATCTATTTTAGTAGGGGAACCCTCCCCCCAAAAAAGGGTAAAAGGGCACTACTCGGTGACCTAGTGCCAAGCAGACGTGGATCGTTCTTCCCATTGCGAGTTATTGCTCAGCTTCCCACTGCCACCGCAGAGTACAGCTTCAGGTCTGCATACCTCGGGATGCCCAAAGAGCTTGGGGTCGTCCAAAGCGCGAGTTGTGCGTAACGTGGAAAGTCGCTGCCTGGACCCTCAACCCAAAATTATGCGTGGATCCCCCTTTTTTTCTGGGTAGTTTGAGGGTTCGGGTACTCACCTGATGACGTAAAACTGGGGATTCCCCAAGGGAGGGTGAAAGTAGATGGAGTTCAGCGGATAACCAACATAGGGCATGCCATCTACCGTCAAGACTGAAGAACGTAGACCATGGCAGCCGGCATCACTTCTTGGGACCTGGGGCCTGGGTTTCAGCTCGAATTGGTGGCTTGGTGGCTTGGTGCTTGGTGCTTTGAACCCCCGTGGATGTCGAGCCGACATGGGAAACACCTCCTTAATTACCAAACCACGAAACTCCAAACCCCCCAAAAAAAGCGGGGGAAGCTGAAGCTTTGGACGCAAGCCGCCCAGGACAAAACAACCTCATTTCCAGTAGTGCTAGGTTCCTATATACCAAAAAGGGGATAATAAGCCAAAAAAACACGTTCATTTCCGCAAATGGAAGTTTGAAACTTGCTCAACCCCACCCCAAATCCAACAAAAAACATCAAAGTAGGGATTTTGATTCCCTTCAAACCCCAAAAAAAGAACACACACATACAAGGAAAACAAAAAACAGAAAAAAACAAACGAAGGGACTCTCAGCCCCTTCGGCTCCGCTGACCCATCCGCGTCCCCGGACCCCGCAGCCCAAGGGGCGCATCCTGGACGCTGGAGGTGCCGCGCACCGCCACCACCCGCAGCTTCAGCTCCGGGAAGCGCACCACGATCCAGCGCCCCACCGTACTGAGCCGGGGGTGGGAAAGATCAGCCAGTGGACGTAAGCGCGTGAATGGACATTTTTTGTGGTCTGATGGTTTGTGTGTCTTTTTTTACAGGACCTGTGGGAGTTATGTTTTTTTTTTGTGTGGTAAAGTCACCCAAAGGACGTAAACGCATGTGAATGGACTCTTTTTTGGTGGCCTGCGGCCTATGGGTGGGAGTTGTTGGTGTTGTTTGGCTTTGGTTTCTCTCTTTGTGTTTTTGTCCGTTCACTAGGAGCCCAAGGCCCTAAATATGAGGGTCTTTGACCTTCCAAGACCGCAAATGATGAGGTCTTGGGCCCTAAGGTTTTGGTTTCTCCTTTAAAACAACAAACAAAGCTAGCCTTATCAGGGACAGCCACGGTCATACGTCCACGATCATCTTGCTGGTGCGATAGGTCCGATAGGGTCGGGAATGAGAAATGGAATGACCCCAAGATAATCCATCCAACTGGTGGTTTCCTGTAAGGGAACAAAAGCCTGGGTTCATTCCCTCCTTCCCTACTGAGCACCCCTTCCTTTCGCACCCGCAAGGCATTTTCCCGCAGAAGACAAGTGGGTGTGTCTTGTTTGCGGGGTATTGGCTTCTTCTTGGTTTCCCTGTTGACCACAAGCAAAAGTAGAGAACATGGGTGTCCTTTTTTAGGGCACCCTTTCCTTTAGTTTCCCCTTAAAAAAAGAGCACAGACAACAGTGGCCTTTTGTTTTTTTGGAAATTGAGCGAGACCCCGCCCCCCAATGTCCTTCCCAAATGAATCATAGACTGGACACTTTGACTGGAAAAGCTAAGCCTGCAGCTAACTCGAACTGCCAAGGCGCTCTTGATCTTCGACCTTCGCTGCTGTGCAAGCCAAGTTTTCCTATCATTTCCAACCCAAACGGTATAGTAGCACAACATGTTGTTTTTTGAAGCCCCCCGCCAAAAATGAACAGAACCACAAGCACAAAAAACAACAACAACAACTTGCCAACAGTGAAGTTGCCCCCTCTACTGATAATGTCTGTGTGTTTGGGGGGAGCAAAGCAAGGGAGTGATGAGTGGGCCACAACGGGATGTGACCCTTGGCGCTCACCAACTGAAATGACTTGCCAACAGCACCGGAAGTGAATGCCTCAGATTTTGAAGATGTGAAACTCAAAGGTCAAACGGTCAAACGGTCGGCTTTGGATCGAGACCCACGTTGAACCAACCCGACCTACACCTCTCCAACCAACCTGACCTACACCTCTCGGGTACTCAAGGGGGCCAGCTTTCCGATAGAAATCCTCCCTCAAAATGTCAAAGGTGCCGTCCTTCACCTACCACCAGTTTGTGGCGCTCCATCTTAGAATCTTAGAACCCCCAGGCCCAGATTGCATGCGGCACACAAAGAAAAAGATGCGACGAAAAAACACATGTTCTCTCTCCCGCTGGATGCGCTGAGGCACTTCCAGCAGCTCCCAGTTCTCTAACCTGGTGCCATTCAGCATCTGCCCCAGGCCGGACCTGGCGGCGCTTCTCTCATCCCCGCCGCGTCCACTTCGACCGGGGATGGGAGACCCGGATATGGAACAAGCAGGGCCGTTCAGTGGCCATAGGAAAAAAAAGAAGGGCACCCTTGTTTGGTTGGTTGACTTCAAAGGGGAACCCTTCCCAAAAAAAGGAAAAAAGGGCACCGCTGGGCTTGTGCCTACCACAGCAAAAGGGCGAAAGGTGTTGGAAGGGGTTCTTTACGAATTGCCCACTTCCCTGCATAAGGAGTGCTGTCATCTAGGCCAGAGTCCAACGTGTGAACCCATGGGTTTTCCGGAAGTGGAACCCAAGGATGGCGTGGGTTCTTGGCTTAGATTTAACGTCCGAGCGGAAAACATAGTTTGTCAAGTCTTCATTGCTTGAGTGGGTTTCAAGCAGGTTCAGGTTCGGTTTAGGGCTGCCGGCTGGCCTAAGTTGAGGGGGCTGATGTTTTTCTGTTTTGGGTTGACGTCGGCTTCGGGCTGGTTTTTGGGTTGGATCAGCGGGGTGGGAGATGTATGGTTGTATGGTTGGGGATGAGGTTGGCTATTGGATGGTTAGGCGTTGGTAGGGCATCACGGGCTCCAACATGGCGTTCTAAGGAATGCGCGAGTCCAGAGTCGCACCCAAAACCTTCCAGAAGACCAACTCCAAAATAGCGGCCACACGACCCTCATCAGAGGGCAGAATCCAACTCCAAAAGAGAGGCCAAAAGACCGGCCAGACTCGAGGGTGGAACCTTGCTTGGCAGCGGCATATATCACCTACACATTCTTAACCCTTAAAACTCCAAGCCCTGGGGAAGTTAATCTTTTACAGACATATAGCTCATATAGCCCATGTTACCCAAAAAGTTGAAAAGTTGTGTTTTTAAGAAGTAAGCATTCTTTGCACATGGCCAACACGGTCCAACCAGGATCCTCCCTATGCAGCTCACACTCCGGGCCTGATGTCAGCTGGGCCGGCGAGGGAACTGCCGTAGGCCAGCAGGGAAAGATCCAAAATGCTCATCCGATCATCCTGCGCCGTCGTGTCACCCACTTGATGAGTGGATGGGTCAACACAAGTCTAAACCTTGTATCTATACCACTAAAATGGTCAAACACCCAAAAACCTTGCATCTATAGCAATAAAATTGCGAAAACATGTGTCTGTCTGTTTGCCTGTGTCTGCGTGTGTTTGTGTGTCTCTGTATGTCTGTACGTCTGTGTGTCTGTTTGTCTATGTTTGTCTCTGTGTGTCTCTGTGTCTGGGTCTGTCTGTCTGTGTGTGTGTTTTTTGTGTGTGTGTGTCTGTTTGTCTGTGTGGTGTCTGTGTTTGTCTCTCTGTGTGTTTGTGTCTGTGAGTCTGTGTGTCTGTGTAAGTGTGTTTGTGTGCTTGTGTGTGTCTGTCTGTCTGTCTGTGTGTTGTCTGTGTTTGTCAGTTTGTGTGTGTGTGACTCTTTGTCCGTGTGTGTTTGTCTTTGTGTGTGTGTGTGTGTCGGTACGTCTGCGAGTCTGTGTGTTTGCGTGCCTGCGAGTCTGCATGTCTGTGTGTGTGTGTCTGCGTTGGTCGGTCTTTGTCTGTGTGTGTGTGTGTCCGTATGTCTGTGTGTTTGTGTGTCTGTTTGTCCGTGTTGCTGTATGTCTGTTTTCCTATGTGTCTGCTCGTTTCTGTGTCTGTGTGTGTGTGTGTCTGTTTGTGTGTTTGTGTCTGTCTGTTTGTGCCTGTGTGTGTCATTGATGCTGTGTGTCGATGAGTCTGTTTGTCTGTGTTTGTCTGTATTTGTCTGTCTGCGTCTCTGTGTCTGTGTGTCTCTGAACACAAGGTCCAGACCTTGTATTTACCTCAAAATGGTCTTCCCCCAAGTAACTAAAGTCCATGGCCTATGAACTCAAAAAGGTGAGGTGAGATGAATATGCTCCACGCGCCTGCCGCATTCCCGGGTAGCCCCAGTCCGCATTGCAAACCGGATAGCCTGGCCAGTTCGAAGGTTTGAACAAAGGGCGGCATATGTCCCCCGAGCAAAACCCTGTTCCTGAGTCTGACTTGACTGGAAAAAGTTAACTTGTTTGTCTTCTGAAACCATTGTCCAAACCCAAAAAGCCAGTAAAGTCCATAAACTCAGGAAGCCGCGCAAAAGCGCACGCCTGGCTTGGGCGGAAAAGGGCCCAGCTGGAAGTGAAGCGGCAAGCCGTTGAAATCCTGGCGCATTGTTCGGTGCCGAAATGGATTGGGGCGATTTGGCGACTTCCTCCAAAATTCTCAAGGGTGGTCTTCCGTTTGCTTCAGCCCCCTGGAAAAATAGAAGCAAGTCCAGTGGTGATAGCTTCCCTTTGAAACCAACCAGGTCCTCCACTAGAGCGGTTGGAATAAGGGTACCCTTTTTTATCTAGTCTATCTTAGTAGGGGAACCCTGCCCCAGAAAAGGGTAAAAGGGCACTACTGGGGGACCTAGCCACAGAGGAACATAGAATGGAAAAGGATAAGAGGAAAAATGGCAGGCCTCGCTTCCTTTTTCAATGGCGAGAGCGAAAAAAACAGCAAAGCAAGGAAGGGAGGGGAATGCATCCCTTCTCCCACCCGATTCCCTTTAAGCCAGATATAATTGTCAGATTCTGGGAATTCGGGGGGAATAGAAGGGAGAACATAAGAAAATGGTTCAGATCTCATGATTCTTAGTTCTAGCGCATAAAATGTTTTGTTGTTCATCTGTGTGTCTGGAGGAGCCAGGCTATGACGACCAAGCTTCCAGCTCTGAACCTCAAAGGCATTAGCAGAGAAGCTTGGAGGAGGAATAGAATCTACAAATGCTACAATACTTCCAAAATCCGAAATCAGAAATCCCCAAGTACAGGATCTTTAGCATGGTGTGCTTGTATATTTCCAGACAAGCTCGCCATACATGATGCAGACTTATAGAAATGGATTGTAGGTGAGACCCATCTGCGCTCATCACTCTTTGGGGTTTCACGCCATCTCTTTGTCCCCATCCTTTTGACGTTGCAAGGGGAGCCAAATTTGAATTTAGCAGTTTAGTGGGGGATTCCCACTAAACCACAATAATAAAACATGTAAAATGGTTCCCAACAACAACCATGTTCCAGCTGTTCTAATCATATAATTCCTGCTATGGGAACAGAGGTGAAACGACCGTCATGTGTTTGTCCTTCCCATTTTTAAATCTAAAATCATGAGCGATTGAACGGACATATGCCCCAAAAGGTTCCTTCCCATGTTTATCTAAAATCCTTAGCGATTAAATGGACACGTGCCCCAAAAGTAAGCCTTCATGTTTTTTCCAACTTGACTTTTAATCTAAAATCCTTAATGGTTGAATGGACACGTGCGCCAAAAGTAAGCCTTCATGTTTCTTGAAACTGTTGTTTGATCTAAAATCCTTAATGCCTGAATGGACACGTGCCCCAAAAGCAAGCCTTCATGGTTTTCCAACTTTTTGTTTTATCTAAAATCCTTAATGGTTGAATGGACACGTGCGCCAAAAGTAAGGCTTCATGTGTTTCCAACTTGTTTCATCTAAAATCCTTAATGGTTGAACGGACACGTGCCCCGAAAGTAAGCCTTCATGTTTTTTCCAACTTTTGGTTTTATCTAAAATCGTTAATGGTTGAATGGACACGTGCGCCAAAAGTAAGGCTTCATGTGTTTTCCAACTTTTTTTCATCTAACATCCTTAATGGTTGAATGGACACATGCCCCAAAAGTAAGCCTTCATGTTTTTCCAACTTTTGGTTTTATCTAAAATCCTTAATGGTTGAATGGACACGTGCGCCAAAAGTAAGCCTTCATGTTTCTTCCAACTGTTGTTTTATCTAAAATCCTTAATGGTTGAATGGACACGTGCCCCAAAAGTAAGCCTTCATGATTTGTTTCCAACTTGCTTTTTGATCTAAAATCGTTAATGGTTGAATGGACACGTGCGCCAAAAGTAAGCCTTCATGTTTCTTCCAACTGTTGTTTTATCTAAAATCCTTAATGGTTGAATGGACACGTGCCCCAAAAGTAAGCCCTCATGATTTGTTTCCAACTTCTTTTCATCTAAAATCCTTAATGGTTGAATGGACACGTGCCCCGAAAGTAAGCCTTCATGTTTTTTTTCCAACTTTTGGTTTTATCTAAAATCCTTAATGGTTGAATGGACACGTGCGCCAAAAGTAAGGCTTCATGTGTTTCCAACTTGTTTCATCTAAAATCCTTAATGGTTGAACGGACACGTGCCCCGAAAGTAAGCCTTCATGTTTTTCCAACTTTTGGTTTTATCTAAAACCTTAATGGTTGAATGGACACGTGCGCCAAAAGTAAGCCTTCATGATTTGTTTCCAACTTGCTTGTTGATCTAAAATCGTTAATGGTTGAATGGACACGTGCGCCAAAAGTAAGCCTTCATGTTTCTTCCAACTGTTGTTTTATCTAAAATCCTTAATGATGGTTGAATGGACACGTGCCCCAAAAGTAAGCCTTCATGTTTTTCCAACTTCTTTTCATCTAAAATCCTTAATGGTTGAATGGACACGTGCTCCAAAAATATCCCTTCAATGTGACTTCAAAGGACCCAGAGCCAAGGGTTGGCTCTTTTGCTCCTCCTCGGCGCCGTACTCCTGGCTGGTGGATCCTGCGTACAAGTCGCAAAGAGGCCAAGAGTCTGATGGTTGCGCTGGACCCCTCTGCATGTGGGTTCAATGCAAGTCAAAAAAGTCTAAAGTTTAAAGTCCAAGAGGGCCTTTGTGTTCCTCCTTTTCTCAGATGCCCAGTGGATTTCCATGGGAAAAAAGGGCATCCTTTTTTGTTGGCCTTACCCAAAAGAATTGGACAAGGAAGCAACCCACTGGGCAACATATTTTTGGGTGATTCCCGGTAACCGACCGGATCCCAGCATCGCAGGCGGCTCCATATGCCAGCGGCGGCAAAGATTTCGGATCACGTCGGTCGGTCTGCGCTAAAGTACCAAGCAACAGCCCGACCTCGGCATCGCAGTGTTGTGGGGGCTGGGTGGGGAGGGAGGGGGGGGATGGGGGCCCAGATCGCCTTTCAGGCCTTAGGGCGTGGGCTGGGCTCCCTCCCCCCCCGCAACAGCTCTTTGGAACAGCTCTTCTCAACGGGGCTCGCAAGCGAAGAATCTTGGTGGGATCTGCCCATCTTGGGATTGGACCGCAGGGTGACCCGTTTGCCTCTGAGTTGAGAACAAGGACAGCTGGCAAGTTACTTGGTAAGTCTGTGCAAGAAGCTCCACTCCCTTTCAGCTTCCTTTCGGAACTCGAAACATGAGACTCACTTGCCCAAAGGACCTGGAAACAAAAGGGTTAACCTGTTGGGACCTGTACTAAAAATGGACCAAAGTGGGAAAACCAAAAGGTTAAAAGGTCGGCTTTGGGCAAATGAGGAGAGTCGACCCCTCCCATGTTTCTCGCGTTTACAAAGCGAACGCCACTTGCATACACGTGGCCGTAAGCAGGATGAAGAACCTCAGTTCAAGGCGCGAGGCGGGTTCCCGGTTCAGTCATATAGTGGGGCACGTGAATCTAGGAATACCTTCCCCATTCTTTCCAGGGATCCTTCTTTTCAGGAAACCATCAAAAACCCAGGGGAAACAGCCAGTTGTTGAAAAGAACGATGGCTGAAAGGAATGGGGAACCAACCCCTAGAGTGAACCATTTCCCTTTCAAGTTCTCATTTGAGCCGCACAAAGAGCTTAGTTTAGCCACTCTGGCTCAGGGGCCCTTTGACCAAGAAACAGTATCCCCCAAAAACGGATTCCGGGTTTGCATTTGGGCCTTTGGGGCAAATCGGACCTCGAACACGGATTTCGGATTGCCCAAAGCACTCACAGCCCGCGTATGTTCTGCGGGAGGGCTGTGGTCCCCAATTCCATGTCTCCAGCATTCCGAACCCCGGAATGCAAAAAAAATAATGTGGAGCCTTAAAATGGACCAGCTCCACAAATGGAAACCGGGCCGGCTCACCTCACGCATTTTCTCCGCTGAGCCGCAGGAAGGTGCACCAGAAGGCCTTCCCCAGCAGGCGCGGGGCATACTGCCGCACCGCCAGGGCCCAGCAAATCGTGGCCAGGAGCCTCAGAGCTCCATCTCCGCGCGCGCTGCGAGGCTTCGCCGCTTGCGACACGAAAAAAAAGGCGCGAAGCCTGTGACCGGAAGTCAGAGTTCATAGTTCTAGGGGTTGATTCCTTGCCCTTCCTTTCAACCATCCTTCTTTTCAAAAACATATTTATGTTTCCCTAGGGTTTGGGGTGCTTTTTTTAGAAAGAAGGATGCCTGGAAAGAATGGGAAAGGTTCCCCTAGAATAGCGGTTCATATGGGTCTATCTTTTAGGGGGCCCCTCAAAATGTGGTGTTCGTTTTTATTTTCCCTTGTACCCACCAAAATCAAAATTCCAACCAAAAAGGGGGTTCAGACACACCGATATGTTTGAACAAGGTGTTGGCCTGACAACCGCAAGAAATCAGCCAAGGAGCTGTCCGATAAATACCTCGGCTCAAGGCGGATGCTTGCTGAGGTCTCTATCGTGCGTCTGTTGTCCACTCGGATGCGCTCCTAAAATCCCCTGATGCAAACACAAGCCGTTTGAACCAGCTGAGTACCATGGCCAATATGCATCCTTTTGGAATCTTTGATTTGCACTGAGACCGAAGAGAAACAGATGCCCATGTCGGGGTTCCCCGAAACGAATTGCCTACTTCTCGCCACTTCTGCTCACTTCCTGAGTAGACTGGCCGCAAAAAGTCCAAACTTCCGAAACTTGCTTGCCACTCGAAAATGCCCTCCTGGATAGCCAAGTTGCCGCTTTGTTCAGTCACTGTTGCTGGTTTTTGGGGTAAAGTGCATGGAACAAAAGCGATCGCAACTGGCGATCCAGGTGTGTCCTTTTGGTTTCCCTTTACAACCGAAAAATGGGGTACCCTCAAAAACGGGTCACCACGCCGGTTTGCTTTGGTAAAGATACATGACTCAGGAGATGCGCGGAAGCCAAGACAAACGCGCAGAGTTCTTGGCCCGGTTTATTTGGTGCGGAAACCTTCTTTGTCAAGGGACACCCCCTAGTATGGCCCGAATTCCCAGGAAACAAGGGACATCCAAATCGACTCCAATCCCCCCTATGGTCTAAGTTCCCAGGAAAAAAAAGACAACCAAACCAACACACATGCCTTGGATTCCGAAGATCCCCAAAGAGCCCCTCGCGCCAGTCTAAGGTGCGGTGTGGAAATGATGGGCGAAGATGAAGACGACCAGCACCTCGGTGCTGGCAAATGCGGAAGAATTGTTGGTCCGCAAGGGAAGGCTCTTTGTTATCGAACCCGTGGTCAGCTTCTCTCGTTGTTCGGTGGTTTGGTTTGGTGGTATGGTGGATGGTCTTCCTTTTTACCCGTGACAAGGGGCTTCAAATCCGCAACCCACCAATCCAAACCACCGCTTCCTGAGGTGCTTCGCTTGGTTTGGCACAAAAAAACGGTTTGGGGCCACTGTTCAGATTCCCTCTGCCGCCGTGCAACCAGGATCTCGATGAATAATCCGATGCTGAAGTACATCAAGCATCCTTGGCGCAAGTCCCGCAGGGCGGGAAAACCCGAAACCGCGCGGGAAAACGACAGGGGTTTCCATTGAACGATGGATCTCCACTTTTGGAGGTTCCTTTCAAACTGGGCCCGTTTTCAGATCCCCTGCTCCAAAGTTTAACTTTTTGGTGTGGGGCAAACGGACACCCAACCACCCACCAGAAGATGCCAAGGCTCTGCCCCAGTGGGGCTCCCGATTCTCCAGGGAGCGGTCTGGCTCGTCCAGGACGCGCTTGAACTTGCCCAAGGGGCCTCTGACAGCTCGGCAAAAACCGATCCATGGGATCGGTTTGGGGGAAGCCACACATGAAACAAACAAATCGCCCGGACACCAAAAAAAACAGCCGCGAACTCAATCGAAACGGCGCCAACAAACAACTACCGAACTGCAGAACTTCAGAGTTGAAAGGAAACTATCGTCCCAGTGCCATGATGAACACTCATTTCAGTCGCCACTCCCGATAAGGAGTTGAGGACGACCGGCTCCCAAAAATCAAAAGACCCACAGCCTCCTGAGGTGTTTGCCCCTCTCCCTGCTGTGGCTCTAAATCAGTTCGAGTTCTGATCTGTGCTCAGCAGATAATGAGGGAATGACCCTTAAAAACCATCCCCTCTGGTTTTGTTCAAGGGAATCTCCAGGTTCATTCCCATAGCTGCAGTTTGCCCTGTATCCTGCAGGTGGGTCCAGGATGAGACTACGACAGGTTCTTCACTGGGAATCCTTGTGGTCAACCCTGGGTGAATTGTGAGACAAATGAGCCATGGTCAAAATACGCCATACTGATGCAATGCCTTCGTGGAAGGACCGTGGTGTCCCGTCCCATGTCCTTCCCAAACTGAGCCGCACCAGACTGGCACATTGCTTGACAGGCCGCGCATGTTGTGGTACGTGCAGGCCATAGCATCGTCTCTCTCCGGGTTGTGGCCCACGAAAATGTGGCAGGTAATGTACATGATGCAGGCCCTGAGTCACTGAGAATCCGATGTCTGTTGAGTTGTGCTCCTGCTTCCCTCAAACTTGGATGGGCGAAGCGGATCCCATATTTAGCCTACACCAAAACCAGAAACACCCCAGTTCAAAAAGCAAGTCCCACGGAAACCCCTCCCAAAGCACATAGCCATTTCTCCGCGGGAGCTTTGTGCTCAAGTACAGCCTCCGGTTTGAAGTGCTGGGGGGGCTAACCGGGCTCCATATGGGCGGGCCAACAAAGGGCATGGCTTACAAGGAGAATTGGGGATCGCCCGGACCTGTACATTCTGTGAGCTCGCTTTACCAAGCGCGCCGGATGAAGTGCTATGAATGCTGGGAACTGGGACAATCCAACTGAGTCACAATGAAAACCCGGTATTGTGTGAAGAAAACAAAGGCGGCAAAGCCACACCCACGCATGGCAAGGGGATTCTCCCTAGGCTTCACCAACTCGGTTTTGATGGCTCAACTGCTACGAGTCCATCCACTGCTCGCCCGATGTCTGCGGCTAATGGGCACGATGGCAAAGATCAGGCCGCCCAAGCAATATCCGCGGAACAGGTCCTGGCATCTGTCCCACCCCGCACAAAAAAAAAAAAAAAAAAAGCAAGGGTGCAAAGGGCTTGGTTGCAGGAAGATCTACGAGAAATGGCCCCAAAACGCTCTAAACAAGCTGCTTTCCAGTAAACAAAACACCTGTAGCCCACCCTTGGAAAGGCAAGCCCCTAATGTTAACCCCGGAGTATGAGGAACCCCGGGTTGATTAATAGGGGGGTGTCCAATTCCCTTTAGTGGGGATTCATCACTTTTGGAGGGAACACCCCACTAACGATGGGACGGGTTTAGTAATCCTGGGTCAGCATTAACATTGTTCCTCGAATCGAGGCAATCTTAGCCCTCAAAAGCCGGCAAACGAATTCCTTGGTTTTGCCCGGGCCAAAGCCTTGTACCAATAGGTCAGTGACTCGGTGCATGCCAGCGTGATGATCGCGAAGAGGATGGGAATCCTCAGAAGTCGGTCCTCCAGATTTGAGAGCCTTAGAATAAAGTTGGTACCCTTTTTCTCCAGATTTGAGAGCTTAGAACAAGTTGGTACCCTGATTCTCCAGATTTGGGAGCTTAGAATAGGTTGGGGCCCTTTTTCTCCAGATCTGAGAGCTTAGAAGAAGTTGGTACCCGTTTTCTCCAGATTTGAGAGCTTAGGCTAAGTTGGTACCTTTTTTTTAAGATCTGAGAGCTTAGAATAAGTTGGTACCCTTTTTCTCCAGATCTGAGAGCTTAGAATAGAGTTGGTACCCTGTTTCTCCAAATGTGAGAGCTTAGAATAAATTGGTATCGTTTATCTCCAGATTTGAGAGCTTAGAATAAGTTGGTACCCTTTTTCTCCAGATTTGAGAGCTTAGAATAAGTTTGTACCCTTTCTCTGCGGATTTGAGAGCTTAGAATAAGTTGGTACCCTTTGTCTCCAGATCTGACAGCTTAGAATAAGTTGGTACCCGTTTTCTCCAGATTTGAGAGCTTAGGCTAAGTTGGTACCTTTTTTTTAAGATCTGAGAGCTTAGAATAAGTTGGTACCCTTTTTCTCCAGATCTGAGAGCTTAGAATAGAGTTGGTACCCTGTTTCTCCAAATGTGAGAGCTTAGAATAAATTGGTATCGTTTATCTCCAGATTTGAGAGCTTAGAATAAGTTGGTACCCTTTTTCTCCAGATTTGAGAGCTTAGAATCAGTTGGTACCCTTTTTCTCAAGATTTGACAGCTTAGACGTTGGTACGGCTTATTTTTCAGTTTTGTCTATTTTAGTAGGGGAACCTTCCCAACCAAAAAAGGGTGAGAAAGGGCACTACTGGGGGACCTAGTCAGAAATCTCACGGGCGCGCGGAAGGATCTTTTCCGCCAAAAAATATCAGTAAGGAAGATGCTCTCGCGAGGCAACAATGAATGCGGAAAATACGCATGCGCGCTAAAACCAGCGATCAATGGGTGGTTTGAAGCCTTGCATCTTGAGAATAGGTTCTTCCCAAACGTGAATGTTCCTGGGATAGGGTCACAGAAATGACAGTTCAGAGCACAAGCTGCATCATTTCACAGACTCACCTGCCCAAAGTCCTGAAAATCAAAGCAATCCACCTTGACTAAACATAGACCAACATGGAAAACCACAAGGTCCATAAGCCGGTTCGCACTGATTGCAACTGAGACAAACGCCCGAGCTCCGGAACGCAAACCACCCACGCAACGTCTTGCTGATGCGAGTCCCTTCGATCATCACAACCAGCATCTTTTCCTAGGCTGCTGGCAATTTCATGCACAAGGCTTGCGTCTCCCAGTTGTCAAGGAGAACTGGCCCCTTGCCATCACCAGGTATACCCCTGGGCCAACAGCAGACCATATATACACATGGCACATCGGACATGAGGGGCCTGGTGGTTTTCCCAGGTAAGCACAACTTTTTTGGGGGGTTCCTAGCAGGGAATCAATTCTTAGCAGGGAATGCGTTGGAATGACCCCTATAAATCATCCGCTATTGTTTCCTTTGAGGGAATCCCCAGTTTCATCCCCAAACCCAGAAGTGTATCCCTACTGAGCACCAGCACGACAACCATGGTCAAACCAACAAGGCTCCAGGCCCATGGTATGTTTTTCGGTGGGAACGTTTAAACGCCCCAGGGGTGCACCCGGAAAAAGGTAGCTTCCATCCTTTATGATGAAGCTAGACTTAAACCTGGTGGTTTTCCTTTTGAGGGAGGTCCAACCACCGGGTGAAAGTAACCTAACGTGGATGGACGAAATCCTGCACCACCTAAGAAACCCTAAACTGATGATTCCCCAAGGTAAATACCAACAAACACTGGTTTCAACAAAAGGTCTCAAAGTGGCGCGAAATGGATTTCGCCCATCCACAGTAGGGATCAAACAATGGAACCTGGTTTTCCGTTTGGGAGGTCCAGGTCTAAGAAAGACGAACCAAACCATGAAACCCTGCGAACAAGCATTGTCCTTTTCCAAACTTGGGAACAACCAACCGGGTTTAAGTCAAGAAGAACTCAAACTAATGGAACCCTCCAAGAAAAAAAGCAAAACACATGGAACCCTCCAAGCAAAAAAAAAAACTCCAAGCAAAAAAAAGCAAAACACATGGAACCCTCCAAGCAAAAACACACACCAACACCACCCACGGCGCGTCTGAAACAAACGCGGCCCTCACCCAGCGGAGGCTCGATATGATCCGTGCCGATCCGCGGGCTGATGCTTTTCAGGGCCGTGGTCACCGTCGCCCTGACCCGGGCACGGCTGAGGCTCGGGTGAGCCGCTCGGGACTTGGAGTCTCCGCCCGAGATGCGAGCCCCGAATTTCTGAAGTGTCCTGCGCCCAGCTTCAAAAAGAACGAGATCCTCCAGTAGAGAGGTTAGAAGAAGGGTAGCCTTTTTTCTTTTTGTCTATTTTAGGAGGAGAACCCCCCCCAAAAAAAAGAGTAAAAGGGGTAAAAGGGCACTGGGGGACCTGGAGAAAATTAGGATTCCCCACGCCCGCCTTTAAAAAAATGCACCAATCAGGGGGAGAGTTTAGAAGCCTCCATGCTCGTTGATGGCAACAAACCCTGTGCGCAAGAAGGCTAACCTTTGCAGGTTGGTTGGAAAAAATCCCAAAAGTAAAACTCCAAGAATCCAACCCAATAGCAAGGCCCAATGGTCCCGAAACTTGCCCCACGCTGAACCCCACAAGTCCCTCGCACCCCGCCTGAAAAGCCCAAAGCAGGGCCGGTCCGCGGCATCGAGCCTCAGCGTTCGATGCCAAAGTTTTTGTCGGCAGCTTCTTTCGGTTGGTCTCTCTGGTTTGCCATCGAGAAAAAAACATTCATTGGTATATTTGCCGCTGGTATACACGCCAGTACCATTGGCATCTCCACCCTTGGTATGGTAGCAAAAACTTTGTTTTTGCAGACCCCCAGTAAGAATGAACAGAACCAAACAACTAAAAAACCAAAAAACCATGCCAAGAACAGTGAAGTTGGCGTTCTGTTGACCAAGCTTTCGTGGGGGGTCTCTCTCGGCCGAGTTTTTGCTCCAAGCGGCCCTACGTCCACGGCCTCGTCCACGTAAACGGCCGTGGCCAGCAAAATGAGAGGCACAATCCTAAGCGGCTCAACTTCCATTTGCTTTTTCGCCCCCTGGAAACAATGGAAAACATATTTCCAGTAGTCTTGGCTGGAATTAGGACCCCAGCAAAACAAATCTGTTTTGCCTGGTTAGTGGAAAACAAAGGGGACCCCAAAAAAGCAAAAAAGGAAAAAGGGGAGCTAATTCTGGGGAAGTAGTGAAATCGGTTCCCTTTATTACCAAGTGGGAAAAATAAAAATAAAATCATTTCAGCAAATGGAAGTCAACAAAGCGGATTTCCTGGCTTCACGTGCGCACAACCTCGCCGGGGCACACCACTCCGACGACAACCTCAGAAAGGCTCAGGAGTTCAAGCCTGAAACTCTGGCGGGTTGTGAACTAGGTCCTCCAGTAGAGAGGTTAGAATAAGGGTACCCTTTTTTTCTGTAGTCTATTTTAAATAGGGGAACCCTCCCCACCCAAAAGGGGTGAACGGGCACTACTGGGGGGCCTAGTGAAACATCGGTGGGTCCGACACCAAGTCCCTGTTCTGCAGTACAAGGATTCAGGATTTTGAGGACGCCTGACAAACCTGGCAGATGAAAACACCTGCTGGGCACTGCAAGCCAAAAACAAAATCTGCGTCCAAGCTGCGCCAAACGTGATCCCCTGCAGGGAGGGCGCCGTTGCCATCAACATGCCGCGAAGGCTGTCTCGATCCGACTTGCTTCCATTTGCCTAGTGGGAAAAATCCATACTTCCAGCATTAGACTCCCTTTTAAAACCAAGAGGGGGAAATAGGACGTAGTCTGAAGCAACTAGCAGGTCATGTCTGCGTTGAAAAACCTTGACAAACGTTCAAGATGCATCTCACATGGTTCTTTCAAGAACCCCCCTTCCTCAATTCCTGAGTGGATGGCCCCCAAAAAAGTAAAAACTTGTTCTGTGCCACTAAAATGGTCTTCCTCAAAGCTTGAAGTTCGTGTTCGTAAACTGAGGGAGTGAGACATGGTTCTCTCAATAGCAATCCTTTCATGGCCATGTTGGTGCCTGCCAAGTGGTTTTCCCTTTCCACTCACAAGCCGCCGCAGCTCAAAAGGGTCGCCGATTCAGGTCTTCTGCAGCTCAATTTGGATTCCCAACTGCAAGTCATCTTGTCGGTTCGATAGGCAGGGAATGACCCGAAGAAAAACCATCCGCGAGATTGTTTCTCCTTCCAGTTCATTGTCATTCCCTACCTACTGAGCACCAGCAAACAATGCATGTGGTTTCATTCAGCCACAAGGTGGCCTCTTGGAGAAATAAAAAAAACACATGACCGCAGGTCGGGCAAATGCAAACTGGCCGTATATCCGGAATCAATCCAACCAAAATCCCCTCAAAAACCGTACTCAAGAAATCAAAAAGATTGGAGCGGGAAAAACCAAAAAAATGGTGCTTCAGGTCATATACGCTTCTCAGGCTTCTTTCGCAACCCAAGCTGAAGCTAGGGTTGGGCCATCCCCCCCTGTTCAGCACACTGTGTGTTTTACCATCTCCCTGTTGGTTCCGAACCCTTTGCAGCTGGCCGTTCCCTCCATTTCCCCTTCAACATGTCCCTTGAATCACCGGAAAGGACAACTCACCTTGAATTGGGCCAGAACATTAAGCTTGAACATCACCCCAATTAAAAACAAAGAAACAACTCATCTAGAAGTGGGTTGCAAAAGGGGGATGTTTAGGACACCAACCACCTGGTCCAACACTTTCAGAGAAACTCAAGCTCAGCTTTCCCCTCGGAAAAAGCGCATATCGCGCAACGACCAAAACGTGCTCTCAAAATCGTGGGCCCCCCCTTTGGGCAGGGGCGCCCCGACTGAATTTGCCTTTCTCCTTTATTTCCCCCCCCCCCCCTCCCCAGCACCTCACCCCGGGCACCCCGCCACCCCGGGCACCCCGCACCGGTTTCACCGGTTCCCGGCCTCGCTGGGTGGCGTGGCCATCAGGGAGAAGAAGCATTCGGTGGTGGAACCCAGGGCACAGGCCAGCATTACCGCCAAGGAGAAGAACCTCAAGCAGTGACGCGTTACTGTAGCGCCCAGCGGATTTCCAGGAAGGAAAAAGGAGCATCTCTCCTTTGCCCCAGCTTCAGGTCTTTAGCCCACCTCTAAGGGCCCAAAAAACGCACCCATCCAAGGGCTTGGGGAGTCCTTTAAGGAAATCTCCTTGGAGGTGGGTAAGGTGCACCAAAAACCAAAACCGCGGAACATATGTGTTTGACCCTCTGTTTTTTTGAGAGGGGGGGAACGTATGAGCCATGGTCAAAGCTCCGTTTGTTTGGTAAAATAGATGGGGTTCCCTGGCAAATGGGGCGTAGCGCCAATCTAAACGAGTGGAACCCATCTATTTCGGACCAAACAGACCTGAAAAGGACTCCTATGACTTCTAAACTTGATTCACCAGGTTTACGGTTCACATGGATTTGTTCTTTTTAGGTGAACAGTTTATTGAACTGTGTATTTTCTGGCTCACCCGGTTTACATAACTTTCGGCTCACCCTGCACAGGTTCATCACTGTGGCAAAAAAGGAAGTCTTCCTCAGGTGATTCCATGGAAAATTCACAATAGACTTGGTAACCCATTAGTGGCCTTCTGGGCGCTCCGATTCCTTTTCTGTTCTTTTCAGAACCATCCTTCTCTTTAGAAACCACATGGCTCATAAGACTCGGCTGTTCAAACTGCTCCCCGATGAGTGAATCAGGCCAAGGGTCAAAATCCAGTACACCCCCATCCCAATTCCCACTAAAAAAGACTAAAATGGGTGGTGCACCTACCCCAAAATGGTATCCCATTGGTTTTGACCCACAGTCATGTCCAATTCCGTAGTCTCACGAAGGCCTTGGGCCAAGTGCGGCGGAGGAGCACGAAAAAGATGCAGCGAAGACGGCAGGTCGTCTCATACCAGTACCTAAGATCAACGCTGGGCTACCTTTTGGCCCCAAAAACGAAGGCACGCCCTAAAAGTATATACATTCTTCTTCGCAGAACAAAAGGGAAGTGAGGTGACCATTGAAAACACTTGCTCGCACATTCCCGCTACGTCTCACGCCCCTCTGAACACATTGACATCGTTTCAGCAAACAAGGGCTGACAGGGTGTCAACAAAATATTTCGAGCCTGAAAAAACACCGCCAAAAAACACACACACACTTACAATGGCAAACAAGAAAACCCGCCACACTCTGGTTCCAACAAAGTGATGTTGTTTCCCAGAGTTCTTTACACGCATAAAAAGACACGCCTGCTTCTTCTCGTTGATCCTTTAAAGCTGCCATTGGGGCAGGCTCCAGCCGGTGTCCTTTGCGGGATCCTGTTTGCACCAGCCGTTGCAAGTGGACATAGATCGCTGGACTCCGGACCCGCATGCGGCAAAGCTGCTGGTGCATACCTCAGACGGGGCGACACTGCAAGGCTCCAGTCTTTTCACCCCTTTTCAGATTCCCCGTTGAGGGTGGGGGGGGGGGGGGGGGGTGGGCGTCCCCCAATTCCATTTATCCAGCATTCCCCACAAAAGAGACAACGGAACTCCCCATTTTTACGGGCGGTGGGGATCTTTTTCGGAATCCAAGCACTTGTTCTCCTCCCTCTCCAGCGACAAGGCCCCAAGGTCCCAAACTTGGGATCGGAAAGCTCCGAAAGCCACCCCCTTTGTTTGGGCACTCCGGCCATTTCATCTGTGGAAGTGGGAAAATCTCAGAGTGGAACTCCCACTTGGCTGCTGCTGACCCCTCTGCAAACAGGCAGGTGTGCCATAGTTGACGTTGTTGTCAGAATGGAAATCCCACACAGGTTCACCCAACAAGTCGAAGTCAAAAGATCCGCTACCACAATGCTGGACCTCTCCTTTCGGAAGAGTACCCTCCATAGTTTCTGTCCTTCCCAGACCCCCAGGATTTTCACTAAGGGTCCAGCCGACTGGTTCCACTCTTCAGGGGGGGGGGTCGGGGAGTCAAGCCCAGGCGCTGTCGTCAGGATGCAAATAGCCCGAGTTCGTGGCCTTTATCTCTTCCTCCTCCATCGACTCGCTGTGTCCTCAAAGGACCAACCACTTGGCCGCAACGACTCCTCTGCATTTTTTCGACTTCTTGTGGTGTGGAAAATTCCTTTGATTTCCCAGGTTAAAGTCTAAAGATCCAACCCGGTGCCATCAAGAAAAACGCGGGTCCGGAAATACTTGCGTGTCCCCAATCTCCCGGCCACAAATTTGATGTTTCTGCATGAGCCCCATTGGCCATGATTTGACAAGGCACCCTGCGCGCACACCATACAATCATGAAACCTGAATCAGGGCTCCCTACATTTCCCCGTAAACCATCGCCCCCCACCAAGGGACACCCACCTTGGGCCAAAAGGGTGATGTTTAAATCCGCCAAACAGGGAACTATAGGGACCCCTGTGAATTGGGAAAAGGCAGGGAGTCGTCCACAGAACCAGGATCATGACACTCGCCATTGGTTCCGACTGCCCGGGGACAGGAAAACTCGGTGGCGACCGCTGCTCTCCAGCTAAAAGTGAAAAACGTTTAGTGGTTTAATGGAAAACCCATTAGTTGGCAAAAAGCTAAAGTCCTAACATCCAAGCAAAATGCAACAACGAAAACATGGGGTGTTTCTGCGACCTCTGTTTGGAAATCGATTTGAACAGGCGCTGTGACAGGTGACGCCTCGTGAAAAGGCATTGCGGCAAAGCAGGACGCTAACACGTGTTGAGCCAGGGACATGTCTCTTTCTTTCAACAGGATATGGGACAAGCGGAGTGTCCCCATGTTTTTCAGTGGAAGCTAGGGGCCCTTGTTCTCCCAAAGCCCACCAGACAGACAAATGCTATCATCAGTTACTGCTTCCCCTAAGATCCCTCAGCCAGTTTTGGGGTCTTTGACACCAAGGCACCCTCAGTGGAGCGAGACTCCAGGTCTTCCACATGGTAGGGAGAAGTCGCCATGGACCCCCTCGGGACCTACCCGGGAGATCGGATCGATCGATCGATCCAAATGATCAAAAGCAGCTGCGGACCGGGCGGATATCCGACCAATCAATCCGTTGCGGTGCGCGGTTGGTGGAAAGTCACCGTGCTTTTGTGTTTGTTTGTTTTTGTTTTTTGTCCTTTTGGGGGGAGGGCTTCCTTTTTTGCGTCAAGAGAAAGACTCAATCCGCAGAATTGGGCATCCAAGCAAGCCGCAGGATGACTCGTCCTCATTTCGGATGGGCAGAGGCGTCCTGAACCCCAGGCCCGCCTCTTGGCCTTTGGACAGCACCACCTCGAATCCGAATCGCATCCGCGCAGCCGTCGGTGTCCCGAAAAAAGCCGCGTGGCTTCGGGCTCAGAACCCCCCCGCCCCACAAAAACCAAGGGACGAAATGGCACGTGACGTAAACTGGTCGTCCTGAGATTTTTCGGCCAGAAGAAGCACTTGGCACTTTTTGCTACCCAAAACTGTGCAAAATGGCTTCTTACCACACACGGTTTGTGGCTCATTGTTTCTTGCTACCCTTTCCTTCGCGGACCCTTTCGGGCTCCAGGATGGCACGCAAAATCTATCTCAGCAACAGTGTGCTTTTCCTTTCCCGTGATCTGTAGTTTTTGGACCCACCTGGATCGCCAGTGGCGTCCCCTGTGACTGTTTTTGGGTAGAGTTTGCGTCTGGAGAAAGCAAACATCGCCGACTCTGCAGCTCTCTCGGCGCCGCACCGCCGCATCCTTGGCGTGCTGCACTGCGGACCTCGGTGGTCAGAGGCATTTTCAGGTATGGGGGGCTTGCACGAAGCCACGGAAAACGTGTATTTGCACGAAACACCTGTTTTTTTCATGGAAAACGTGCATTCTGCACGAAACACCTGTTCTTTTCTATGGAAAGCGTGTGTTCTCATGTGATGCCAGATTGGTTTTGGAGCTGTGGAGGGACAAAATCCACAAACCGCGCCAGGTGAATTTCGGCGGTTTATCCTGTGAATATAGGGGTTATTCCGGCCTCGTGCTTAGCAAATCGGGGTTAGCCAGGACAGGCCCCCAATTTGAGGAAGCCAAAGGGGGGGAGAGCTCAATTCGAAAAACCGAAAGCATCCGGGTGGGTACACTTCACAGCCCTTGGCATGGTAGCAAACAACTTTGCTTGTTCTGGCCCTCAACAAAAATGATCAGAACCAATAGACCAACAAACACAAAACAGCTAGATCCGTCAGCAATGAAGTACATCCCTTTTCTGTTGGGAAAATTAGATTGAGCCGCCAAAAGGCTGGATGTGGTTCCGTGGCAACAGGGGGCATGTTCATGCCCCTTTGCGGGGCAGGGAGTAGGGCTCCCATGGAATCCTACCCCAGTCCCGCAAGTCCAGTTTGAGTCTTTGAGGGTATAGAAAATGAGAAGACCAGTTTGTGGTTGCTCAGTTCTCGGCCAACCAAAAACACCTTTTCGACCCAACAAAACTTTGGGCGGATGATGTTTGATGCGATTCATCGATTGAGCGGAGCTCAAGGCTTTGGAGAAACACCAAGGAAACCAGTTGGATGAATCAGTTCTTGCCTGGTGAGTGAAAAACAAAGAAAACCCCCCAAAAAAGAAAGCAACAAACTCATTCGGCAAAAGGGGGAGCTAGGTTTGGGGAAGCAAAAGCCGTCGAACGGCTGCTAAGCCTGCGGCTCAAAGATGGCCCTGTTCGGCTGTGCAGGTTGAGACCTAGGCTTGCGCCCATTGATCCGTTGATTCCATTTGCACGTCCCGTCCGCTTGCCCAAGAGTTGTCCAAGAGCAGGCGTCACCCTCTGCAAACTTACATGGAACCCAGTTTCGCAAACGTGTCCTGAAAAAATGCAACTGTGCAAAAGGAGATTCCAGTTCAATGTTATTCTTGGTGAAGTCATGACCCCCCCCCCCCCCCAATGTTCACAGGTCCCTTTAAGTGAAGCGAGAGCTGTAATGCTTTTGTCTTAATTTCTTGCCTAACAGTCTTGGAACAGAAGGTGCCTGGAAGACCAATTTCCTCTTGAAAGGAGCCCCTGATGGCACCTCGGCGCAATCTCAGTGGGAAGGAGAAGACCTTGGCCACAAAAAAGGCCGAAGCAATCGAACATCAACACATCAAAAGGGGCCATGGCCAGTTGCGTACTTGGATGACCACCCCGCTAGTAAGTTGTTGATTTCTCCACTTCACAAGTGAGGGCCAATTCCATTTTGGGATCTGTTCACCGGGGATACCAGGTATGCCCCTGCCACTTGGGTATTCAGCGAACTTAGTCAGTAGGTTATGACCCTGGTTATACGGGGGCTAACCCCAGTTACCCCACCAGTTATCACCATGGTTGAAACCTACTTGCCTGACGTTGGTTGAACACTCAAGCGAGTCGCTTGAAACAAGTAAGGCATGGAGGCCACCCATATCCGCTGGGAAGACATGGTCCCTCCCAAATGAAGGCAATGCCCCTTGACCCCCGCGCTTTCCCTCTCGCATTCTCAGATTCTGAGTAGATTGGCCAGAAACCAAGTCCACACTTGTTGCATACCACAGAAAAGGTCCAACCCCAAAAAGTGACGATCAAGTCCGGGAACTGAGGTCCCAAAACTGGGCTGTCCTCAGATTTTCTGCTGAAACCACTCTGCCCTAAGGCTAAAAAGCTCAGGGGATGGCTGGGAGCCACAAGTTGCCAAAGTCCGATCCTACGCCCAGAGGACGAGCCAGCCGGCGATCGAGGCCAATATGCGCCCGGCTCGGTATGGCCGTGTGCCTTCAGCTGTCTCTCCACCTGAAACGGGACCCCGATCCAGTCGATCCAGGCGCCTCTCGGCTTGATTCGGGTATGGGGCAGGATATGCGTAGTTCACCCGCAGGTCTGACAAGTTTGATACCTCGAGTGCACCTTTGGCAGCCTGCCCACTTCACCTGAGACCTCAAAATTAGAAACCGAAAATCACAAATCAACACAAATCCGGATTCTCGAAATTCTCCGGGGGTCATGCCGACCCGACTTCGACACATGCCAATCTCTTACCCTGAAGCCCCGTGGTTTGGCCTCATCGGCGGCAGCCAAAGTCCTGGTGAAGTCCTTGCGCCTCAGGATTTGGAACCCGGCCAGCCCGGCCACCTTGGGCGCATAATGCTGACCCCGGATTCATCAACCCCTTGTCTATATATGGGAGCTTTTCCCCTCCAAAAGTGGTATAAACCCTCACTAAAACCAAGGACACCCCCATATTAATGAACAGGGGTTTATTAATCCGGGGTCAGCGTTAGGTCTGGGTAAAAGCACAAGCCATCCTCTGGTGGTTTCTCCGGGAAACTCGACACACAATGACCCTATTGCAAGGGCCTGGACTGCTCCCCTTCACACGACATTCAACAGGAGGGAAGTTGGAAAAAACGTATCGCCTTGTTTTTTCAGGAAGAAACACATATCGTATCTGGGGGGGGGGGGGCATGTCTTGGTCTCCTCGTGGCTTCTCTATGCTTCTCTTGAAAAGAATCCCCCAAACGAGACTTGTTCCAACATGAAGGCCGAAGACGGGCTCGGCGCAAAGGAGCGCCCATCTGCTCGTCATCCAGGGACACCTTGAGTGCCTGCCGCAACTCAAGGAACCGATCCCTGCCGTCGACCAAGGGATGCTAGGGGGGGGGGCATCTCTGGATAAGCCCAGTCTGCCAAGTAGCTGTGAAATACGGCCACAAAAAGCCGGGTTAAGAGGTGATAGCCCCCTCTCCCGCTAGCCCTTGGCGGGTATAGTCACCCTGTACCCCAAACAAGAATGCGTCAGGCCTTCTCGAGGAGCGTGAGGGCCTCAGAAAGCCAAGCCACATGGACACGCCCTACAGATCAAAGACCAACATGGGTGTGACCTTTTCTTGGAGGAGGGGAATCTTGACTTTGAATTCCATCCAGCCGGTCGAATGTGGCGGGCAGCGGACATGTTGGCGTCAATTGGCGCTTGTCCACCCCTACTCGCTTCCCGAGGCTGGCGCCCTCACAAGCAGAGATAAAGCCTCCAGGGGCGCTTGCTCTGCCAACCTGCGAGGCGTTGCAACCTCCTCTTTGGACCATTTGGGTCGTCCTGGTCGTCTCCAAAAATGGGGGGGAACCATCTTGAAGAAAAATAATGAGACCTGCTTTGTTGGCCAAGTTTATGAAAAACCCAGCTTGGCAAAAGATCGGTACAGCCAGGACATTGCCGCCTCCCCATCCGGAAGCCCATGCAGGGTGAGAAAGAAGCGACCGCCTATTTGCTGCCTCTGACCCATGATCGTCATGAAATCCGACCAAGCAAATTTCCGGCTTGGACCATGTGGCTGTGGGTAAAAACCAATGGGATGCCATTTTGGGGTAGGTGCACCACCCATTTTAGTCTGGGGATTGGGATTTTGGCCCATGGCCATGTCCCCTTTCAAACGAGCACTTTCTGCCGCTGTCCCATGGCAACCGAAGCGCCCAGCTTCGCAGCGCCCTGCAGCGCCTCTTCTTTTTCTTCTCGCGCCGCTTCAGTCCGCATCGGAGCTGTCTGCACGGGATCGGCTCTTTCTCTCAGCCTCGTGCTCCGGGCGGGTTGCACTGGGCACCTGGCCGTCGCGCGGGCAACAAGGACCTGTGGATGGACCAATTCTTGCACCGTAAGTGGATTACCCCGGCATTTACAGTGTTTTTATCCATCCCAACTGGTGCAGGATTTTGTCCACCCACAGTACCCCCTCAAAACCCCAACAAATAGTGGATATGGTCCCAAACTTGCGGGGTGAATTCCCATTTTATGGGTAGTTTGAGGGTCCAGGTTCCCATCTTCCACGCGGAATCGCAACAAGTTGAACGAGTTGGTCTGTTGAGGTTCGGGGAATCTCCCGTTGGCAAACATATCATTTTTTTGGCATACTGATTTTCAGACTACATGGTTGTGGAGAGGAGGAGCTTCTCTCTGTGATGCCAAAATGGATCCCCATGACTCGACTTTTCGCAAACGGGAGCGCCCCTTGGCATCACACTAATTTCCCAGAGCCAGTATTTTCTGACTGCCAGCGCGCCTCGTAGGGAGCCTAGTACCGGTACTTGGTACAGTAGTCCTGGCACACTCTTCCGGTTCCGGGTTTGCAGCTTTGTTGTGCAGGAACCCATTGCCTCCAGTCTCTTTGTCATTGGAAAGCTGCCCCAACCGATGTGTGGTTCACACTAGTAGGCAAAGGAAGCCGGGGTGGAACTTGACCCTGCTTAGTGAGGGAACTTGCCAGACAGACAGCAGGGAAAAGGGGCGCCGCTGAACAACTGATACAAAAATCTGCCCCTCCCCATGCAACGTGGTTGCATCAATGGTCCTTTGGAGACATCACCAGACCTCTCCCCTTGCGGGCGCCACGGTAGATGGTCTCCACAATGTCAATGAACTCCTCAAGGTATCGAGCTCAAGAACCCATGCCAATGACAGGCCAAAACAGCACGTGCCCCCGTGAATGTGCCATTTATCCTTTAAATTGTCCGGGAAGGGGAACCACACAACACATGTGGGGCTGTCTATATTTTGAGGCTAACTTCTTGTTGGTTGGCTTTGAAAGGAAACCAACAGGACAACCCAGCTTTTGGGATCCAACCTAAAATCTGCTTCAGGAATCATTTGAGGGGTCAGAGGGCACCTGGAGCCATTGAGCCCAGCCTGCTTGTCGTTCATGGCCCAGTTCACCTTGTTGTTGTTACCTGACTCGAAAAGCACCGCCAGACCCGGCCCAAAAAACCCACCCGGCCGCGCAAGCCCGGCGAATTAGCGACGACCCCCCCCGAAACCGAGGAAACCAGAGCATCCCACCTGTGCCCAAGTCGATCATCATGTGCTTGTTGCGGAAGAAGAACATCACGGTCACCGGGTCGTAGAGCCTTGGAACTCCGGCTCTGTGGGCAAAGCTTAGATTCTGGCGACCCCTGGGTGGTTTGGATTGGTAAGCCAGCAACCGGCACCCCGCAATGAAACCCCAAAGCCTCACCAGCGGCAAAACAAACCATTGGACCCGTGGACTTCGACTGCTCCGTGCAAAGGAAGGCTAAGCGCGCCGGCTCGTACATGGTGTTGAAGTCAGGCACCTCCTTCACATCTACCAGGTAGATGATGGCAAAGCTCTTAATCTTCTCCTTGGGGCTGAAGACTGGGGGCAAAGCTTCGAATCACCAGGAACCCCCCCAAGCCTCCATTTCCATTTTTTCCAGGGATCCGAATCTTTCTAGAAAACCAGCGGAAACCCAGAATCAAAACCTGGACCAATTGGTGGCTGAAATTGGGCCACTGCACCACCGGGCTCCAAATGTCCAATTAGGAAGCTGAAATCACAGGCTCCACGGCTCCTGCCCTCGAAAAACAAAAAACTGGTGCAATGTTGAGGGGTTCGTAAGCCTGAACCAACTTCCTGAGTGGCCAAAAAAAATAAAGTCCAGGATTTCAGGAAGTGAGTTAAGGCCAACAGCCAAATGAGGCAGCAACCCCTAAAACACATTTGCTGGGCGGGGGGGTTGCGAAAAGATGCAGGCCAAGGCTCCGCGACCGAGTAGAGGATCTCGTCCATCCTTATGTCTCAATCAAAGGCCTTCCCCAGAGACGTGCAGCGTTCCCCAGCCATGGCCCCCTCCATACCTGAGACCCTTGCCTTCACAAAGGGAACGAGGGAAACGGAAACGGCCCTCAGAGTCTCCTTCATACTGTGGATGGACGAAATCCTGCACCACCTAAGAGACCCTGGAATGATCATTCCCCTGCAAATACCAGCAAATAACGATTTCATCCATGGTATCAGGGTGGTGCGCAATGGATGGTGTCCATCCACGGTATTTACCAAGACCCACACCATACCTCATACCTGATACCCTTGCACAAGGGGAACAAGGGTAACGGAAACGGCCAGCAGCTTGGGCAAGCTCAAGCCACCATTTTCCAGCCGGGTCGCTTCATGCACTCTGAGTCGTAGTCGTGGCCGAAGCGGATGATCACCAAACGCTCCTCTTCACCTCACTGCTTCCGTCTGAGAGATTCCTTTCAATTAGCTGGTGCATGCACTAGGTCCTCCAGTTGAGAGGTTAGAATAAGGGTACCATTTTTTCAGTTTTGTCTATTTCAGGGGGAACCCTCCCCCAAAAAAGGGGTGAGAAAGGGCACTGCTGGAGGACCTGGTGTGTGACCCAATTCTTGGTGCGCCGCAGCCCCGACTCAAAACACACAGACCAAACGAAGCCAAACTCTGCACCAGCACACTCCAAATGCTCAAAGAAGCTGGAACCAAAGGTCCAAAACAAAAAGAAACACACAAGTCGGAACTACAAGCAGCTGAGTCAAGTTGCTTGCCGCTCTCTGTGTTTTTGATCGGAGATCCTAACAAAAAAGGACTGAGCCATACTGAGCCGGTCCCGCTGAAAGGTTCAAGTTCAGGTCACAACCTAAACAAATCATCCTGACGCGAACGGTCAAAAAATGCCGGGTCCGAGTGGCTCAGAATGGCCTGGTCCACAGCCCAGCCAGAGTGAAGGTGCGGAAGCATGAACGACATCTTGGAACAGAATTCAGAATGACCTCAGAATGAGCGCACGTTGGATGTGCGAATCCAGATGTTTGATTTGCATTGCCGCGGGAGACTCCTAAAACGTGTTTTGCCTTATTGGGGCACCGGCACCCTTTCTGTGTTTCATGCTCGTTCGGGGAGGGAGGGTTTCGGTTTCCTGAGGTTCCCTTGCTTTCGAACTAAGACGTCACTTCCAAGGTCCAGCCCGGAACTAGGGAAAATGCCCCGCCCAAACCGCGCTGGCAGCGGACGAATGAATCTCTCCGAGTGCCTCACCTCAAAGCGACGTGGTAGGAATGGCTTGACCCAGAGCGGCTGAGGCGAGCACAATTTGAGGATGTTCAAAGGATACTGTGGATGGTTGCCAAATCCGCTTCTCGCACCACTTTAAAACCATGATTGAAACCATAACATTCGTTGGCATTTACAAGGATAATGATCATTCCGGGGCTCCTCAAATGGTGCGAAATGGATTTCGCAACCATCCTTAACTTGCTGGTTCGTCAGGCAGGGAACGAGAAATGAAATCATAAAAAAGGAAAAAAATCCCTATGGTGTCCTTCATAGGAATCCCCAGGTTCATGCTCAAAAACCCGGAAGGTCGTTCCCTTCTGGCCCAGAATCTTTAGTGAGATGCCACGAAAAGAAGAACACAAGGGAAACACCTACCATCTGCCATGAGGAGCTTGCGAATTCGCTTTGAACAACTCAGCTTTTAGCCACCATGTTGGCCATGCCGCTTTACAAGCAAAACACAAACAGAAGTTCCAAAGGTCGCCGAAAGTCTTCTTGTGCTCTCCGGGCAGTCGCTTTGCGCCTCATTGCCAACTGCTCCAGTGAGCGGGCGATGCGGTTCAGGTTGTTACCTTCAAGCTGGGAGGGTAAGCAAGGATCAACGTACGTTTCACCGAGAAAAACACACCAATCCTTCGAAGAGCGAGAAAAGGAGAGAGAGAGAGAGAGAGAGAGAGATACATATGTATGCAACCCCGTTTCAAGGGATGACAAGTCATATATATATGTGTGTGTGTGTATATATATATACAGACTGCATAACAACACATAGCCACTCTACGGCGGGTCCTTTTCGGTGGCTCGAGGCCATCGAAAGGCGGTGCTGGGAGCCAGGCAAAAGCCACTGGCTGCCTAGCGAACCAGTCCAGGTCTCTCGGCCGTGTGGGGTCGATCGTGGAACAGGGCCGAAAGGATGCCAGGGGCCGGGTACAAGAATCAGCCAAGCTATAGGCCCCGTGTACATCAAGTATTTTTTTTTTTGGGCGTATCCTCTGTGAAAGGTCGCAAGTGTGGCTAAACTAGGTCCTCCAGTAGAGAGGTTAGAAGAAGGGCACCAACTTTTTGCTGTAGTCTATTTTAGTAGGGGAACCCCCTCCCAACACACCCAAAAAAGGGGAGAGAAGGGCACTACTAAGACTAAATGGGGTTGGGAGCCCCGCTCGCGCGAGAGCTTCCAATCGACCTCTGGTGACCTTCCCCGAGACCCGGGCGGCAGCGGGCGTTGGCCCAATGCCGCGAGCAAAGGAGGTGGGGTTGTTGGTGGCGATCACCACCTGTCATGGGTTTGGGGCTGCCTGGAATTTCCCCAGAAGAAGTTGATCAATTTGCTGCTGGTGTTCGCTGAAACTGCCAAACCTGGAGGTTGCAAACACCCTGATGAACGGAGGAGTGAGAGGATTTCCCCCGTAGAAAAAGCTGGTCAATTTACTGGGTGGTTTCCATTGAAACGATTGGTGTCCACTTCTGGAGGTTCCAAAACCCTGATGCGCGGAAGAAGGCGGATTGTTGCTCCAAGCACCCTCCATGTGACTGATGGACTGAATCCTACACCAGGGATGGATGAAGCCCCATAACTGCTGGAGTCCTCCATCCTCCGTCCCTTTTGGAAGAGGAGAGCCCTTCTGAGGGTTGATTCCATGTTGTTTGGAAGTGGGGAACCTCAGCAAGGGACGGGATCCACTGAACTGGGCATTAAACAGGTGGGCCTTCGGCGGATGCGCAGCTTGGCAGGTTAATTAATAGCGCGTGTTCTCTCCAAACGTCAGTGGAGCATTCCCCTGCACACCCTCAAGAATGATCAAGAAGGGGGTGATTTTGCCAGGGTTACCACTGCCTTTGGCGGGCGGCATAAATTTATCCACTCAGGTAGCCGGAAAAGGCCCACCTTGCCGTGGAACAACATCAAAGCACATGCCTCTGGAATCGAACATTGACTACTGAACCATCATTGCAAAGCCCAACGACATGCCGGGGCTGCGTATTCCTCGTCGACACCCGCGTTTCTGTGCGCACGTGTTGAGGAACAACGGTAGTGACGACGCGCGGGGGCATTTGGGCGTTCTCAACGCTTGGCACTCCAAATGGCTTTCCGAAAAGGCTTGGCAAGCAGATTTTGAGACCAACCCACATGAGCAGCGCGCAACATAAATTAGCTGCTTCGAAGTTACGAAGTTACAAGGTCAGAACGCCTACGCCTCACTTTCATCCATCCTCACCGAATTGGGCACAGAATGGGGTTTGCTTGGTCCTCAATGCTGCTTGCGACCAACATGAGCTTGAGAGTTGGGCCCATATCGTTGTCGACCATAGGGGAACCTACCAAAGGGATTGATCAGAGATGGGGTCTTGGACTTAAAAACATACGTCACTTTCCGGGCATGGGACAACTTTCAGTGAATCCCAAGGGCTACCTTTCAAGTTGGTATCAGAAACCCTCATTTTGTTCCGAACCCCCCCCCCCCCCCCGCCAGGCTTGGACCTGCCAGTCTCAAGCCAAAAATGACTCAAACCTCCACTGGGGTTAAATCGTCAGCGTCGACTTTGGGGGTCCAAGTTTAGTCATGCTTCATAGGAAGCACCACTTGGCAACCCCCCTTAGAAGGATACACCTCTCACCTGAAGCCTCTAAAACAGCTTCTTTGGCGGATGTTCATATGGTGTTTAAACTAGGTCCTCCAGTAGAGAGATTAGAATAAGGGTACCATCTTTTTTCTGTAGTCTATTTTAGTAGGGGAACCCTCCCCCCGAAACAGGGTAAGAGGGCACTACTGGGGGACCTAGATATAGAGCCTAATCTGAAAGCCGAACCCACCGGCGCCTTCGCTTCACCTCCACCTGCCGTGCGGTCCCCGCGCGAAACGAATGCGACGGAAGCCATCGGCTTTATGCCAGGCATTGGTAGCTTTGGTTGATCTTCGGTATATATATATAATAGCTATATATAGCTATACATATATATATATATATCTATGCATATATATAATACATCTTCAGGTTCACATGCTGCCACATGGGCCATCTAAAGAAATCAACGAACAAGCAACAAAAACTCTCAAATTCAGAAATCAGGTGCGCATATGTCTGCATATCAGATGCTACGTAAGCCCTTCTTCTTAATGCTAAACAGTCCCCTGATACTAAAACCTACTTTTGAAAATCTAAACTCCGGGTTTTCCCATTTGACCCTTTAAAATCAAAGGATTTTCGCTTGGAGGGAAGACATGATTTCTCTCTTTCTGTCGTTATGTCGGCTTTCCTCAGGCTGGAGCCATCGATCTGTACACCCCTTTTGCAGCGAGCCTGGGGATGCCGCCGGGCTTCCTTGGTACATCTCTCCGTGTCTGGGCGCCATGACAAAAGCGAACAGGCAGGGTTGGCGCATGGTTTGCGCGCCAAAAAAAAAGCCATAATGAAACTCATAGATGTCTTTCTTGGTGCATACTTTCAGGCGTTGAATTGTCAAAAAACGCCGGGGACGGCACATGAAACGCATGGCTTGGTCCCAAGGAAGTGGCTTTCCTTGCGTGTCCCCCTTTTCGCAGCCCCGAATAGCAGCAAACAAACACTAAAATATCCATAGCAGTTACCAAAAAACATGCCATGTGCGGCGGGGAACACCCTTTCTTTAAGACTTCAAGCCAATGGAAGGGAGGCGTTTCACGTTTGGAGCCTCGGTTTTTTCCACGAAAAGCTTGACTCGTGCAGTACATACGGACAAAAACCACTAAACCAACGATGAAAACCATGGGAAAACGACCACCAAACCAACCCAAAACATGTAAAAACCAGCTAAGTTGACCCGGAGGATTCACTGGTCGAACCGCTCAGTGAAGAGCTCTTTTTTTACATTGCCTGGGGCAGCTGCCTTGATCGCCTCGGCCATGAAAGAGGACACCTGGCACCAGGCGCAGGAAGCTTTAATTACCTAACCGGCACCTGGCAAGGGACCCATTCCTGTGTTTGTTTTCTTCTTTTGTTCGTCGGCCGAAATGACCCACGAAAAAAGTGGTGCCCAGGCAGAGGAAAGGCTTGGTGGTCCAGGATGTTCGTTCAACAACTTTGCTGCAAGCAGTTTTTGTAGTTCGACATGTGTTTGGCCCCGTTCCTGATTTTCCGATTGGGGTCAACATTTTCAGGGGCCCAAGCGGTATTTGCAGCACATCTCGGTGCAAACCAACATGGGTCATGAACTCTCAAACTACGTGTCGTGCATGGGATGGGTCTCTGCGGAAGATGCCCCGGGCGAGAAGAAACAACATAACAATAAATAAAAGAAACAAAAACAACAACAACCAACAAATAAACACGAAGTCACCACCAGCGCCCGTGCCTTTCCACCGGGCACCTGGGACACTGTGTGGTCCGGCCGCTTTGCAAAGATGGCACCGGAAAAGTTGTTTAGGTCCTCAGGTATGCATCAGGGGCCCTGGAAGAAAGGATTCCCCACAAAGGGCCCCCGTTCTTTTACTAGGTCTTCCAGTAGAGAGGTTAGAATAAGGGTACCCTTTTTTCTGTAGCCTATTTTAATAGGTGAACCCTCCCCCAAAAAAGGGTATAAGGGCACTACTCATCAGGGGTTCTGCATTGCAGAACCAAACTGACACACGTGAAGTGCATCTCCTAACCTCGGTTGCGAAATCTGCTCCCCCGCCAAAAGTTGAACTTTTAGTGAACCCATTAGTTGGCAAAAAAATAAAGTCCTAACATCCAAGAAAAATGCACCTCTGTAACGACACCTACGGGTTGATTCCACGCCACAGCATCAGGTGCTCTCATCTTGGTCTAAGCGGCGCACATCCTTAGCTGCTCCCGCCTGGCAATCAGTATGGGCTCGGCCATGTGAATCCGCAGCCACTGGAGCGGTTTCCCTACTGTGGATGGTTGCGAAATCCGTTTCGCACCACCTAAGAGACCCTGAAATGATAGATCCCCTTGCAAATACCAGTGAAGAATGGTTTCTCGTGGTTTCAAAGCACCCCAGAAACCATGGAATCATTTTACTTCCCTGTAGATATCAACAAACGATTGGTTTCCCATGGTTTCGAAGCAGTGCAGGATTTCGTCCATCCACATTATGGCCGATTGACAACCCAATCTTGGCAGGCACATTGAGATCCACTCCCCAATCAATAGATGCAATGCTTCGGGGACTCTCACATCTCGCCCACACATACTTTAAAAAGGGGTACTCCAAAATGCAGGTGTTCTATTTGTTTTCCTTTTTTAGCTTTGGAGAAGACTCTTGTGGGAGTGAAGCAGAACTCAGCCCTGGCCGGAACGGCTCTTCAGGATGCCTCGGATGCCGTCAGCTCCTCGACCCGCTTGATCTGATCGTCCCCTGGCGCTCGCTTGGCAAACGCCGCTTTCGACAGCATCCCGAGCCCCGCTCGCAGGGGGCGGCTTGCGCGACCGCCCGCGCCTGCGCTGCCTCGGTGGGAAAACCCGCGCGACGGATTTGGTTCGGCATGGGCCGCCAGTTCTTGAGACTCGCTAAGACTTTTTGTTGCCTTAAAGGGAAGCGATCTTTGGGGCTTCCCACTTCGAGGCACTGGTTCTGACAGTCATGCCACTGCACTCACACGCGACCTCACTGTGGACAGCTGGACAGCCACTGTGCTTTGAAAGGACCCCGGTGTGCAAAAGCACCCCCAACCTTTCCGCACCTATGTGTCTTTTTGAGTGTACCCTTTTCAGGCTGGTTTAAAGAGGGACCAACAGCACAACCCCATTTTCGGACTGTGACCAGTGCGATTGGGATGTATGCGAAGAGTGCACCGTTTCACATACTCACGAGCATGACAATTTGACCCCATTTGCCTTTTTGCTTTGCTGTTGGGGACACAAAGAAGGCTGGCGCAAACTGGTGATCTCCCCAGAGCCCAAACCCTATGCCCAAAAACCCGTCCCCCCCCTCAAACCAATTTGTTCTTTGCGGGTACCCTTTTCAGGTTGGTTCAAAGAGAGACCACCAGCACAACCCCATTTGCCCAACCCCTTGTTTTCAAAAACCCCCAAGGGGCTCCCGGCTGCTTGCGGTGATGAACTCCTTCTCCGCTTCTGCGGTCGGGCCTCAAACGTCCCATCGCCAATCGCCCCATCCGCAAGGCGACGAGTCAGCGGCTCAGCGCGGGGCTTTCCTCCGGTGAGCGGAAGGCCTCAGGTACGACGGTGCCTCTGTTCCATTAGGTGCTGGAAAACCTAAACATATTTCAGTAGTGATAGATTCCCTTAACCAACAGGGGAAATCAAACATATTGTCAAGCAAATGGAGGCTCTTGACAAATTTTGTTGGTTGGAATGGTTGGAATGGCTGTAGCCAATGGATATGACTGGTTGGAGTGTTGTAGTTGTGGTTGGAATGGTTCGTCATTGGTTGTTTCCTTGATATGGTTGGCATTTGTTGGTTGGATTGGTTGTGACGTGTGAAAGCAGCATGGGTACTACTCGGGTTTCTTCTTTGATACTGCGGATGGTTGCTAAGAAATCCTGGTCCTGATGATTCCCCTGTGAGTAGCAACGCCACGCTATGGTTTCAACCATGGTTTCATTACCCGTGGTGCGAGAAGCGAATTTTGTCCAACCATGCACAGTATGTTCGGCTTTGGTCCCTTCCAATTTCACTCAAAACACTGATTCCCCTGGACTCACTTCCTGAGCGGGTGGCCCCCAAATGACCATGGGTAACTTTTCCCGCGTTTCGTGTAAATTTTCCTGTGTTTCGTGTAACTGTTCCCGCGTTTCGTGTAACTTTTCCCGCGTTTCAATTAACTGTTCCCGCGTTTCGTGCAACTTTTACCGCGTTTCGTTGGGAAAGTGATATCTTTTTTGTTCATGTCCATCGGACCTTTTGATCAACCCCCATCAAAAAGCCAGTGGATCCATGTACCTCTATAGCAGCCAACCACCAAAAAACCGCCTTCCCTAGGAGCCCAAGACCCTAAATTCTTTGGGCCTAGGGCTGTAGAAACAGGAAAAAGACGGGCCAACTTTTTCAAGTGGCCCAAAGCCTTCAGGCCCCGGCGGCAGGAGACACGCCTGCCTCGGCCTGGCTTGGTGTCCGCTTTCTTTCCGCGCCCATGGCCCTAGTTGGAATCGGGGATGTGTGTCTCTGAAAGGGAAACCAGAGAAGAAAAACAACTTTTCATTCATCTTGAGGGTTTTGCTGGGTATGAGTTCTAGTTGAAAAGCCCTTGGTGGGCATCAATTAGGCTATTTGTGTCCGGCTCCCCAGTAAAATTGATTCGCTGGCCAAAAGGATATGCCAAATGTAGTCAAGCTCTGACAAAGTTGACTAAAAACGGGCCAAGGCAGCCCTCTTGGATGGTTGCTGATCTTGGGGTTGAAGCCAAGCAGCTCCCCGTGGAACCTTGACAACTCGGCTGAAACAAATCTTCCCTTTATTGCTTTTGGGGCTGTTTAGGCACATGATGTAACATGCAAAGGTTCATAGGCTGGACATATATGCCCATACTTGGAGTCCTGGTGTGAACCCCTAGCTTATTGTTGACTGCGGCTTAATTCTGGGGAGTCAGGATCCAACATGGCCCTGAGTTCACTCAGTGGATCCTCCCTTAGCTACCTACTATACAAGTAAATGGATCTAAGAGTCGCCTTCTCCGCTTTCGAAACCCACTCGGTCATCACGAAGCTGCCCGCACCCTGGCAGAGGCAGGCAAAACGCTTCAACTTGCTGGTCCGCTAGGCAGAGAAATGGAATGACCCCAACAAAAACCATGGCTGCCCGTTTTCAGATCCCCCGCTAAAAGTGAATATCACTGTTGGCGGGTTCAATTCGGAAACTACCACTAAACACTAAAAGGCCAAAAAGCTAAGGGGATGGCTGGGCGCCATCAAGTTATGTTAAGGAAAGCCCCAAACGGTTCATTCTCAACACGCGGAAGCTCGGTCATTCCCGACTTATCGCACCAGCAAGTCAATGCCTGTAAAGAGGTCAATGCCACCACCCGAGTTTGGTTTCATCCCGGAGAGATGGTGCCATCTACTCACTTCGGATCGACTGGCCGAAAGTCCAAACTTTCCCTTTGCCACTCAAATAGGACTCCCCAAAAAGTTGTTTGAGTCCATGAACTCAGGAAGTGAGACTGTCACCGTGATTGATAGGTGGATTTAGGGCAAACTCTGACAAAAACAATCTGACACTGGTCACTCAGAACTCTTACTTGAATAGTGGTAAACTCTGACAAAAGCTTGGTTGCTGGGTGATGTTACCACTATTTGCCGCCTGGCTCCGAGGTAGCCAGCCACTTTTGGGCTCAGAAGGCCATAGCTCCCTATGGATCTGCACATGGGACAAATGCTTTGTGTGCTTTAGCCTTGCCCGTGAGACCGACCCAAAGAGCTTCCCCCAAAAAATGAACACTCTTCCCATTTCGGGGTACAAGCTCCAAGGAATCGCCGGGAGGAAGCAGTGCATTCGCTTCATGCCCCCGTCCTGTCCATCTGATGGGGGGCTTGGCGCCTCAGAATCTGCGGGTTTCCCCAGGCCCCAAGCCCGTCCCAAGTCACAGCCGGGACCTGTCGTTCGGGACCCTTTGTCCCTTTTACAGGGAAAATGGGCCAAACCAGGAACCCCCGAACGTCAGAACGTCAGGTTCCATGTGTTCTTTGGTGGGAGGATAACGTCACCACAAATGGCATGGCAAACCATGTAAGCCACCGAAACCCATTCATGCTAATGATCTTAGGTACTATCAACATGCCTCAGCAAGTTTGCCCAGGCCTACTATAACTCCATTCACCAAGAAGTAGAACCACTGTTTTTTTTTTGAAAAAGGAGGCTTCGAGCCTGGAAAATGTTCGACAGCCTGGATTCCCTCGAGCAGCACGGCAGAATCCAAAAGCTCAGCTTCAGGAATGCTTGAAGGAGCTACGGATTGGGCAACCAAAAGGCAGATGCCTGATTCCAAACGCTGGCTGAAATGACAACAGCTGATCAAATCAAGGTTTTCATGGGTTTAAACCAAAAAAACGAAAAGCATACATGGAGTCTGGGTTTTATCTGGATTCCCTCTCTCCCTCTCTCACCGATGCGATCAAACCCTCTCTCCCCAGGTCGAATTCGAGGAAACTCACCAAGTTGCGTCCGCGGGCGCGGGGGCTTCAAGGCCTCAGGGGCCCACGTGGACCACTCGACGGCCCCAAAAGGGAAGACTTCTGTCGGAGTGACGTTTTTTTTTTTCTCCCACCGCGTCCATGCCACTGAAACAGAGCGTCATGTCATATTGCAAGCGATCCAAGAGGCATGGAACGCATTTGAGTGCGCAACATGTGGTTTGATGGGAGAGCTGAAGAACTTGAACTGATATTCACCTTCATTGGACCCAGAAGTGGGAACACATTCAGTTGGAGGGGACTCATCCGGCATGGGGGAGAACTCAGGAAAATCATCCATGAGTTACCGTGCAGACCTTGTGCTGCACCGCTTTGCCGATGGTCTTATCACCCCCGAATTCAGCTGGAAAGGGGGGGGCCTGCGGCTTGTACTTTGTACGTCTACTCAAAACCCATAAGAAGCAAACTCGCTTCCTGGGTTGGCGGGCATGCCAAGCAACCTTTTTCGTATGTTTACCACAGTCGCCCCAAACCCAAACAGCGACAGCCCGCAACGGAACTCATGCACCCAAAGAGCCCACCACGCCCATCCCTCTGCTCGGGACCATCCTTCACTCCCCCGGGCTCTGAACTTAAAAAACTGCTACGGCCTCGGCAAATGGAGAGCTTGGACAAATGGACAAAAGGAAAATGAGCTCTGCAAAAGCCATGGCCAGCTGATTTCGGATTTTCTCATTCCCGTTTCGCAGCGGAGATGGAAGGCGTGAGGCCCTGGCTCACGTAGTTGTGCGCCATAAACTCCTGGCGTGCCATGGACACGTTGTCGAATTGTGGGGCCCAACAAGTGTTCAGCTTTGTGCGTGGGTCCAATTCGGAACATCCCCACGCTTTCGACCAAAAGTCCCAAGATCCGCACAAAATCGCAACGAAGAAGAAGTGGTCGCCAACTTCCATTTGCTTAAAACCCCCCAGTGAAAATAGATTTCCTTCAAAACCCAAACAAAGGAAAATAAACCCCAACCCCCCACCTCCCCCCCTGCCCGAGGCAGCCAAGCTGCCAATAAGGAAATCTCCAACCAGGGGAAACAAAGCAACTCATTTCAGGTTGGTTTTGCTTCAGGTTCCGCCGCTTCGGGTTCCCGTGAAATGGTGCGCTGTTGGCACCCCTGCGAATGGGAGATTGGGCGACCCAAATCCCATCGGACGCGAAGGGGTGTGCTTCGCTGTTGCAACTGAGCATTTTAAAGTCTACTTGGAATATCTTAAGCCAATCGATTCGCTCAGCGCCAGGAGCAAACCGCTCCGGATTCGCTCAGATGAGTCACAATATGTCACAATCAAAACCCGGTATTAAAATGGTTGATCCAGAACCATGCTTCCAGAATTAAGAAGGCGGATATCCGCAGATCATCTGCCTGGGTTTTGAGGACGTGGCTCAGATCGGCTCGATTCGGTGGATTCGGCCTGGCTCGAGAGGCGCTGTGCAGGGCTGTGCACCAGCAAGGCCCGCAGGAAGTCTTGGCCTAGCACCGACCCCGGCAGCTGGATCGCCAGCCTTTCCCTTAAAGATGGAATTTGGGGGGGAGGGGGTAACCCCTGAAGAATCCTGGAGATCTCCATTTTCTGGCAACCCATTTTGACTTCTTTTTTTGCAGAAATACTAGATTCATATGGAATTGAGGCCACCCCCTCCCCCTTGGGATGTCTGGACTTCTCAAGGAACCCGTCAGGTTGGTGGTTTGGAGCCCGATGGAAGCTGAGGATTTGGATGTGAACCATTCCCTGGTTCGTGGCATGGCGGAGACTACCCTTGACCAACCCCTGGTCTCCAGGCTTTAGCTCAAGCCTCAAGGTCTCATGTGAAGTTCGTGCCCCGGTCATGTGCCGTTCTTCACATCCACCCGAAGTGGTTGGTGGGAGGGCCCAAGTGTCTCACTACCAGCTTGGCATCAGCCCAGAAGCCGCGGCTTCACGAGACTTGCCCAGCTGAAGTTGTTGAGATTAATGCCGAAGAACAAAATCAGGCAAACACCTGACTAGCCTTGCAAATCAGATGTTTCTGGTGGCTCATGCTGATGTCAAGCAAACGCGTTTGCTGGCGCCCTGGTGTTCCAAACTTGTCATTTCAAGCATAAACATGCTAGTCGTCCCTGTGTCATTTGCCGGGCTGGCAGGATTTTGCCAGTGTGAGCACATACTGTGGATGGACGAAATCCTGCACCACCTAAGAAACCCTGGGATGATAGATTTCCTCGTCGATGCCAAACAAAAAATGGGGTTCGACCATGGTTTCAAAGCGGTGGCGAAATGGATTTTGTGTCCATCCACGGCATGTCAGGGCTTCTGCACGCAGCTGACGGATGGCGAGCGAGCCTGGCCTTGGGCTGACAGCTGGACCCCTTCGAACTGCAAGCCGGTGCTCTTCTCGATGTTCGCCTGCGATCGGATCGGCTCCCTGCTCTCCCCGAACCCGCCCTCCCGGGTTTCCTCCAAAAAGGCCTCAGGAGGTTCTTCAGAAACCACACAGTGGCAACGAATGCAGGTTGGCTGCCAATGAGTAGCGAGAAACTCAGTTGCACATGTCAAATTTGAGATGGTCCCTTGTCAATGGACCCTTGAATTGAATTATTCCAAAAAAAAGAAGACTATGAACAGCTTCCCTGGGTTGAATGTTGCAGGCTACAGGACCAGCGCAAAAGGGAGCAGCCAAATTTCCATAGGCCTGGAGAAATGGCCCGGAACAGCGTCTGTTAAGTTCAGCAATCCACATGCTGAAGCCTGCTGAATACCTCCACAGCTTCTCAGGGTCTCGGTTTAGCTGGCAATCCTTTCTTCCGCGTCCGAACTGGGGCTTTTCAAAGGGAATCCCCACCCTGATGCCGAACTGGAGGATCTATGACGGAGTCAACATGCTTCACTCTCAGCTGTCTCCGGGGCTCCCCGGCCAGAAGCTGTAGCGGGTTGGACCCTGAGAAGGGTGTCCTGGAATCTTCGGAAGGAGCTGGCAAAAACCCACACCAATCCATGTGAGCCACCGTCCAGCCGGTCATCTGCGAGAAAAAGGAAACGGGTGTGCCCTCGAGTGCGTCCCCCAATGTTTCTCCATGTGCAAACTGCAAGCCGGAACCGTGTCAAAATGGGTTCTTGCACCCTGCAAAATGGCGGGCTTTCCTTTTGGCTTCCCTAGGAGCAATTGCCCCACAAACCAGGGGTGCATACCGGGACTGTTGAAAGCAGTCTCCTTGTGGGAAAAGGGCCCCTTGACTGAAAGAAAGCAACAATGACAACTCCATATGCCGTCTGCGTCGGATCTTTAAAATGATTCCCGCTGTGAGGAATCAAACCCAAAAATATTGGCAAGGACCCAATTTGGATGATGAAGCTTGTAAAGCAGCAATTATCCTCTGTTTTGTCCATTGGGTGGTTCTCTTGGTTACCTGCCTTTGCCAGGTACATGGATCCACTGGATTTATTTTGAGTGAATGTCCATGACTGAGAAACACGAACAGCCCATTTCGGCCAAGGAATCTCCCAAGGCGAGAGAACTCGGCTCCTTCCCATCAGCAGCTCGTAGAGAATGGCCCCAACCTGAACCGCCCCGACGGGCGCCAAGTGGCTTGAACCCCGATATGCAGAGGTTGGAAGATGGAGTGAACTCATTTTGGATGCAGTTGACTAGTTCTTGCGTTCTTGCTAGTTCAGCCACAGTGACGAGTTCTCCAGCAACTGGATGCTCAAACATCGGACATGGCACATGAGCCCTCCTTCTTGGGCAAGCATTAAGGGCCTGATGTCACCCTCGAATGGACCAAGACATGCTGCTCATTGTCTCATACTCATAACCATATGACAAATATGCGACAAGTCGTACATGACCACATGGCAGTTTTGGACCCGTGGTGTTTTTTGCGCCACAAGTGGCTCCTCTATCGCGAGGCTCATATCCCGTTGGCCAAATGCTGGCTTTCCACCCCTTGGTATGTTGTTTGCATCACCCTGCAAAACACAAACAGGACCAACAAAAACTGAGCGCCTAAAAACATGATCCAATAACAGTGAAGATGGATCAGATCAGTTGCAGATAAGGCAAGCGATCCATATGCCCCGGCTGAGATCACAGCTTCGGAATCCAGAATCCAGGCCCAGGCCAATGGAACCGCTTGCAGTATGGCTGTGAATCACCCGAAATTGAAAAAATGCTTGGGGTAAACCACCTACTTGGCGGTGTCTCCCCTTTGAACCTATATTTTTGCTTTGGGGTGGCCTGCATCGCGGCCGCCCGGCTGTAAAACAAAAACCGTTACGTGGTCCCTCGGGCCATGGCCGACCACAGGTCTGCTTTGGCGTCGTAGGGCTGGTGTCCTGCCGCGAGGTGCCGGCCGCGGAAAGAACAACGGCCGGCCGTTGCCTTTCAAACCAAAGGGGTCTCAAGATCAGACGCGCGGTTTCGTCCCCCCCTTTGTTTTTACTGGGTTTCTCCGAATTTGCCTGGTGAAGAAAACCCAAAAGCCTGCAGATGTTCTGGAACGGCCCGTGAATCGATTCTCAACCCAACTGAAAGCCGTAAATCGTTTCCTGAACTAGACTTGATTTCCCATGCTTTTAGGGTGCAGGGGCTAGCAGATCAGGGTTGTCTGCATTTCCCCTTGAAACATCACCCCAAAATACTTGGGAATGAACCCAAGCGGAATTTTTCAGGAAACCACCAGTTGGATGTTTGAGTTCGGCCGTCCCTTCCTTGAGAAGCAATAAACCAATGGCAGCCCACCTACAAATTGCCTTCGCAAACGTCAAGTTACTGTCACATCTTTGGAAGGGAGGAAGCGCCTAAAATACGGATGGACGAAATACATGTTGCACCACCTAGGA